GGCCGTAACTCGTTATGGTTTGGCAACAAACCAAGTCTCCATGTTCCCAAGAAAATATCTGTGACTGAAGACAAAAAAAGAAAAGCTCTTGAGGAACTTGGTGTACTGGCCAAACTAAACAAGCTAACAGAATGAGGCAGCTCTATGGTTACTGTAGAGATAAGGAATGACACCTCAAAATGTGGCTTGACCCAACATGCCGAGGGCATTTTTGCAATATAAACAGTGAATAAAAATGAGAAAACTTTGTCGTGTTTCAGTCCATGGAATACATTTTGTTGTGATTATAGCCACATCCTATTGACTGAAGAGGCATCTTTGTTTAACTATCCTTTTGGTGCATTTTATTAACTGACACTTCCTTTTGCAATGAACAGTGCATGGGAATCATTTCAATGGCACAGTAATCAACTGTTCAGTGATGTGGAAGAAATGGTATGTAATTTCCTGGTGCACAATCCGATGGAGGCGAGGAAGAACGCAAATATCATGTTGAATGGAAACAATTCTTAGGCCCTGATGTTTAATGGAAAATATGCAAATGAAACTTGATATATAAAGGAATGAGAAGGGGACATAGAGGTTTTCACTAAGGGTGGAGGTTTGTGTGGAGTGTAAATACTGGCATGGAGTAATGAACCAGATGGTCTGTTTCTGTGCTATAATGTTCTATGTAAATCTGTGTAATTAAATCAAACATTCACTTGGGCTGTATTCTCAGTAGATTGGAATATAGTTCAAAGCAGGTCATTGCAGTGGTGCGAATCTCAACGCAGAGGGCAGACTTTAAATGTCACATTCTTTAGAAAATTATTTCTGAAATGATTAGATTTACAATTTCATTCAGACAGCTTCCAGTTTAAGTTTCTTTTATTTTCTTGACGTGAAAGGCATTACTGTATATAAATTTGTTGTTGTTTCTTACACTTTGCTATACTTGCGTTTTCAATATTCACTTAAATGATTTATTATAATTATTATGATTTATAACTACCAAAATAAAAATTGTAATAAAAATGACTCAACGTGGATTGCCACAATAATAATAAACCTTGCATTTGATATAGCACTTTTCATGTCTTCTAGATGTTTCAAAGCGCTTCACAGAATATACTGTAAAGTGAATTGACTGTATATTTGCAGGCGATATGTGGGCACAATGTCATAAAGAAAGGAAGTTCATCTTAAAATGGTAAACAAACCTGCAGTTACTGCTGTGACTGCCTTCAGGGATTCTTCTAATGGGTCTTTATATACCTCTTATTTATTCTTGGCAGTGTGGTTGCTTAGAGAGCAAATATAGGTTTGTACGAGATTTTCTTTTGTGTTTTGATGAAGAGAAATCAGCTGTTAAATTGGAAGTGCTTGGAACTTTAGCACCAAAGTTGCAGTAAGAAACAACCCCAGCTGCCAATGGCCCCATAAGGAGAAGTGAACATAGAAACATTAGCCATAGGCCTCAATTCCCATCCGCTCACACAAATACAAAGACGACAAATCACTGAACATTGCGCAATCCCAATCCCCTGAGCAATCAATCCTACTCACGTTATATTCCTCCCACTTCTCAGTGAATGATTCCGGCTCTGCCAACCTTCAATATGGAGCACTATGAATAAGGAGTTCTGTAGCGTACTGGTTAGACCAATCGCCTTGCAAGAGAGAGGACCTGGGTTTGATTCCCAGCAGGGTGAAACACTGGGGTAGTGAATTCCATAAAGTGAAGAAATGTTTCCTCAACTCTGTTCTAAAAGGCTGACCCTTAATTTTAAGACTGTGACCCCTGGTTATAGATTCTCCTACCAGGGGAAACAGACCCTCAGTGTCTACTTTATCCAGCCCCTTAAGAATCTTATATGTTTCAATAAGATCTCCCCTAATTTTTCTGTACTCTAGAGAATATAGCCCTAGTTTATTCAGCCTATCCTCATAGGTCAGTCCCCTCATCCCAGGAACTAACCGAGTGAATCTACGCTGCACCCCCTCCAGGGCAAGTATGTCCTTTCTTAAATAAGGAGACCAAAACTGCACACAATACTCTAGGTGCGGTCTCACCAAGGCCCTATACAGTTGCAGCAAGACTTCCCTACTCTTGTACTCTAAACCTTTTGCAATGAACGCTAACATGCCGTTCGCCTTCTTAGCTCTTGCTGCACCTGCAAACTAACTTTTTGAGACTGGTGTACAAGGACACCCAAATCCCTCTGAACACTAACACAATCTAATCTCTCCCCCTCTAGAAAATAATCTTTTTCTATTTTTTCTACCTAGGTGAATAACTTCACACTTCCCCACATTAAATTCCATCTGCCACCTACTCGCCCACTCCCCAGGCCTATCTATATCTCGTTGCAATCTTTTTGCATCATCCTCAGAGCTTACTCTCCCACCTAGTTTAGTGTCATCCGCGAATTTAGATACGTTACATTCAATGTCCTCGTCTAGATCATTGATGTAAATTGTAAATAGCTGAGGCCCAAGCACTGATCCTTGTGGCACTCCACTAGTCACAACCTGCCAATTCGAGAATGACCCGTTTATCCGTACTCTCTGTTTGCTACCCGTTAGCCACTCTTCAATCCATGCTAATATGTTCCCATTAATCCCGTGGACCTTAACCTTGTGCAATAACCTTTTGTGTGGCACTTTGTCAAAAGCCTTTTTAAAATCTAAATAAACTACATCTACTGGTTCCCCCCTAGTAGGAACCTGGTTGTTAGTTGATTGACGGATCAGTTTTCTGGGAGTAATAATTCCTTCAAAATAAATAAAAATAATTTGGTCACTCAATCCACGGCTGTTTGTGGGACACGTCTGTGCACAATTGCTGCTGTGTTTCACCCACAAAATATACAGTCAATTCACTTTACAATATATTTTGTGAAGCGCTTTAAGACGTCTCGAAGATGTGATAAGGCGTTATATCAAATGCAAGGATTGTTATTATCAAAAAAGGTAAAGCTATGTGAGATATTCAACATTCACAACTGAGTGCACCATGCAACAACTACAGAGAAAGGTATTCAATAAATATTTAATAAAAGTATTATTAAAAAATATAAGGTTTATGAAAAAAATCCTGCATTATATCATACAAATATTTTGATGAAGAAAGTCTATGTCCCATTTGACCCTCCCAGTATTGCATTACAGCAAGTGAGATGTTTCTTAAATGAGTCCTAGGTCTCTACCACCCTTCCTCCAGCTGCTTCATGTGTTTGCCACCAATCCACTTCACTGCTTGATCCTAGATTTTGCAAATGGCTATGGCAAGCCTCTCAACTGCATCCCCCAGAGATTAGAACCATAAAGGAGGACTGTTTGCACACAGGAAATGTATGACATACCTTGTTGTCCTTGAAGAGAAACAAATAATAATAATAATAATAATCCTTGCATTTGATATAGCGCATTTCACGTCGGGAGGACGTCCCAAAGCGCTTCACAGAACACACTGTAAAGTGAATTGACTGTATATGTGTGGGCGAACGCGGCAGCCAATTGCGCACAGCAATGTCCCACAAACAGTCGTAGATTGAAAATGACCAATTTAATTATTGTTTTTAGTTTTGGAGGATTATTATTGGGCGTGTGAGTAAGGAAACTTGCCCAAGGTTTCGCCCTCTGCCTGGAATTGAACCCAGGTCTCTCACTTGCAAAGCGAGTGCTCTAACCACTGAGCTACAGGACAAACATGACTAGAATGCCCTTCGTCCCTTCTCTGGGAGGTCCTTCAGGACAGTGTCCAAACAAAAGGACTGGGACTGATGTATCTTTCAATCATTGCCCTTAATATCTTCTCTTGAGCAGTGCAGAACCAAGATTCCGCACTTGGGGGCATCCACAATCATCTCCAACTGGGTGGTCCAATGTTCAAGATGAAGGGTACAGCACAACAGGTCCCCAGGTAAGTCCACCAGCAGCACAATACTATTCCAGCAAACAATCCTGTTAGAAAGGCTTGGAACAGATACACCAAGTCTTTCCCCCTTGATACCATCAAACACGTCATTGATGAGCACATCGAATAAGATGGGTGATAATGGGTGGTCTTCCTTACCTCCTCTGAAATGAGGCACATCAACATGATAAAGTGCTATATTAAATGGAAGGTTTATTATATGAAGTATTATAAATGCACTGGTACGTTACCCTGCATGAGGGACATGATATAAATGCAAGTTGTTGTCATTTATTTCAGCATTTAGTGTCTTGTAAATTCCACTTGGTTTGGTCCAAAAATTCCCATTCAGGCAACATTAAAAAGTAAGAGTTTTCACTGTTGTAGCACCTTAAATGCAATAAAATTCCAATGCTCTTTACGACAACCATTGTTACAGTTTTTTTCTATGTAAATGTGACAGCTTTGTTGAAATAGATTTGATAAATAGCTATAAAGTAAATGACTGATCTGGAGGGTTGTGGTTCAGACAATGGTATAAACTCTCTTGTCTTTACAAATAGTGTAATGTGATCTGTTACACCCAACCAAACAAGAACAACAAACAATAACAACCTGTATTTATGCGGGATAGCATCTTAGAGCACTGTTTAACATCCCACTTGAGTGTGACAGTTCTGCCCCGAAATGTCAACCTGGACATCAGCTTAAGGTCCAACTTGCCTGAACCCCAACCCTCTGACCCAGAACTAACATAAACCAACTTCAATTCGAAATCCACTGCTGCACATGAAGTGGCAGCATTGCCCCTGTGAGCCAAGCTGACACCTTCAAAAGAATACATTACATTGACATTTAAAAACCAGGCAATGTTGCAAATCATTTTCTCTCGGCTCCAATTGCTGGGGGGAAAAAAAAGAAAGGTTAACTCGTTGCAGAATCCGGAGTCTTTTGCCGGGGGTGCAAATGGCAGGGCTGAGCTGGGATCCTCACCACAGGTAGGTCTTGGACAGCTGTCAATCACTTCCCTGACCAATGGGTGCTGGAGGCGAGAGGTACCTGGCGAGGAGAGCCATCGAGGTGATGCTCATCCCGGTCAGGGACATGCGGAAGAGCTGCCATCTGCTCAGCGCAGCGCTCCATCACTGGTGAAGGTGTCACAGGATTGCTCGGCCGAGGCAGCGACAACCCGACACGTTGACCCACTGTTGAGGGGGAAGTGCGGGGGGCGGACGGCAGAGAGCAGTGGTGAGTGGGTGAGAGAGAGAGTGAGAGAGACTCGGTCACTGTGTGTGTGTGTGAGTGAGAGCCTCAGTCACTGTGTGTGTGTCTGAGTGAGAGCCTCAGTCACTGTGTGTGTGTGTGTGAGTGAGAGCCTCAGTCACTGTGTGTGTGTGTGTGTGTGTGTGTGTGTGTGAGCCTCAGTCACTGTGTGTGTGTGTGTGTGAGTGAGAGCCTCAGTCACTCTGTGTGTGTGTGTGTGTGTGAGAGCCTCAGTCACTCTGTGTGTGTGTGTGTGTGTGAGAGCCTCAGTCACTGTGTGTGTGTGTGTGTGAGTGAGAGCCTCAGTCATTGTGTGTGAGAGTGAGAGCTTCAGTCACTGTGTGTGTATGAGTGAGAGCCTCAGTCACTGTGTGTGTGAGAGAGAGCTTCAGTCACTGTGTGTGTATGAGTGAGAGCCTCAGTCACTGTGTGTGTGTGTGTGAGTGAGAGCCTCAGTCACTGTGTGTGTGAGAGAGAGAGCCTCAGTCACTGTGTGTGTGAGAGAGAGAGCCTCAGTCACTGTGTGTGTGTGAGAGAGCCTCAGTCACTGTGTGTGTGTGTGAGTGAGAGCCTCAGTCACTGTGTGTGTGTGAGAGAGCCTCAATCACTGTGTGTGTGAGAGAGAGAGCCTCAGTCACTGTGTGTGAGTGAGAGCCTCAGTCACTGTGTGTGAGTGAGAGCCTCAGTCACTGTGTGTGAGTGAGAGCCTCAGTCACTCTGTGTGTGTGTGTGTGAGAGAGAGAGTCTCAGTCACTGTGTGTGTGTGTGAGAGAGAGAGCCTCAGTCACTGTGTGTGTGTGTGTGTGTGTGTGTGAGAGAGCCTCAGTCACTCTGTGTGTGTGTGTGAGTGAGAGCCTCAGTCACTGTGTGTGTGAGTGAGAGCCTCAGTCACTGTGTGTGAGAGTGAGAGCTTCAGTCACTGTGTGTGTGTGTGAGTGAGAGCCTCAGTCACTGTGTGTGTGAGAGAGAGAGCCTCAGTCACTGTGTGTGTGAGAGAGAGAGCCTCAGTCACTGTGTGTGTGTGAGTGAGAGCCTCAGTCACTGTGTGTGAGTGAGAGAGCCTCAGTCACTGTGTGTGTGAGAGAGAGAGCCTCAGACACTGTGTGTGTGTGAGAGAGCCTCAGTCACTGTGTGTGTGAGAGAGCCTCAGGCACTGTGTGTGTGAGAGAGAGAGAGCCTCAGTCACTGTGTGTGTGTGTGAGAGAGCCTCAGTCACTGTGTGTGTGTGAGAGAGCCTCAGTCACTGTGTGTGTGAGAGAGCCTCAGTCACTGTGTGTGTGAGAGAGCCTCAGTCACTGTGTGTGTGTGAGAGAGAGAGCCTCAGTCACTGTGTGTGTGTGTGAGAGAGCCTCAGTCACTGTGTGTGTGTGTGTGAGAGAGAGCCTCAGTCACTGTGTGTGTGTGTGTGAGAGAGCCTCAGTCACTGTGTGTGTGTGTGAGAGAGAGCCTCAGTCACGGTGTGTGTGAGAGCCTCAGTCACTGTGTGTGAGAGTGAGAGCTTCAGTCACTGTGTGTGTGTGTGTGAGAGAGCCTCAGTCACTGTGTGTGAGTGAGAGCCTCAGTCACGCTGTGTGTGTGTGTGAGAGAGAGCCTCAGTCACTGTGTGTGTGTGTGTGTGTGTGTGAGAGAGAGCCTCAGTCACTGTGTGTGTGTATGTGAGTGAGAGCCTCAGTCACTGTGTGTGTGTGTGTGAGAGAGCCTCAGTCACTGTGTCTGTGTCTGAGTGACAGCCTCAGTCACTGTGTGTGAGAGTGAGAGCTTCAGTCACTGTGTGTGTGTGAGTGAGAGCCTCAGTCACTGTGTGTGTGTGTGTGTGTGAGTGAGTGAGAGCCTCAGTCACTGTGTGTGTGTGAGTGAGCGCCTCAGTCACTGTGTGTGTGTGTGAGTGAGAGCCTCAGTCACTGTGAGTGAGAGAGCCTCAGTCACTGTGTGTGTGAGAGAGAGCCTCAGTCACTGTGTGTGTGTGAGAGAGCCTCAGTCACTGTGTGTGTGTGTGAGAGAGCCTCAGTCACTGTGTGTGTGAGAGAGAGAGCCTCAGTCACCGTGTGTGTGTGAGAGAGCCTCAGTCACTGTGTGTGTGTGAGAGAGCCTCAGTCACTGTGTGTGTGTGAGAGCCTCAGTCACTGTGTGTGTGAGAGAGAGCCTCAGTCACTGTGTGTGTGTGAGAGACTCAGTCACTGTGTGTGTGAGAGAGAGCCTCAGTCACTGTGTGTGTGAGAGAGAGAGCCCCAGTCACTGTGTGTGTGTGAGAGAGCCTCAGTCACTGTGTGTGTGTGTGTGTGTGTGAGGGAGAGCCTCAGTCACTGTGTGTGTGTGTGTGAGAGAGAGCCTCAGTCACTGTGTGTGTGTGAGAGAGAGCCTCAGTCACTGTGTGTGTGTGTGTGTGAGAGCCTCAGTCACTGTGTGTGAGAGTGAGAGCTTCAGTCACTGTGTGTGTGTGTGAGAGAGCCTCAGTCACTGTGTGTGAGTGAGAGCCTCAGTCACTCTGTGTGTGTGTGTGAGAGAGAGCCTCAGTCACTGTGTGTGTGTGTGTGTGTGTGTGTGTGTGAGAGAGAGCCTCAGTCACTGTGTGTGTGTATGTGAGTGAGAGCCTCAGTCACTGTGTGTGTGTGTGTGAGAGAGCCTCAGTCACTGTGTGTGTGTGTGAGTGACAGCCTCAGTCACTGTGTGTGAGAGTGAGAGCTTCAGTCACTGTATGTGTGTGAGTGAGCGCCTCAGTCACTGTGTGTGTGTGTGTGAGAGAGAGAGCCTCAGTCACTTTGTGTGTGTGAGAGAGCCTCAGTCACTGTGTGTGTGTGTGTGTGTGTGTGTGTGAGAGAGCCTCAGTCACGGTGTGTATGAGAGCCTCAGTCACGGTGTGTGTGAGAGCCTCAGTCACGGTGTGTGTGTGAGAGAGCCTCAGTCACGGTGTGTGTGTGAGAGAGCCTCAGTCACGGTGTGTGTGTGAGAGAGCCTCAGTCACTGTGTGTGCGAGAGCCTCAGCCACTGTCTGTGTGAGAGCCTCAGTCACTGTGTGTGTGTGAGAGAGCCTCAGTCACTGTGTGTGTGAGAGAGAGCCGTCACTGTGTGTGTGTGTGAGAGCCCGTCACTGTGTGTGTGTGTGAGAGCCCGACACTGTGTGTGTGAGAGCCCGACACTGTGTGTGTGAGAGCCCGTCACTGTGTGTGTGAGAGTACCAGAGAGATTCAGTCACTGCATACATGTGTTTGTGTAGGTGGGGTGGGATACCCTCCCCCCACATTAGTTTGATATCATTTGTTGCATGTTGAATATTTGTTGTTGTCACAGTGCTTATCCTACTTGGGTTCAGCTCTGGCTTTCTGCACATCTGCATTTAACATCTAGACGCCCAAAGCAATCGCATTGTTGTAATTTTATTTCTCATTGTATAAACATTTATGGAAATCCAGTTTTTTATTGTTTCACTAGCTTCCTCCCTATGCCAAAAGCTGGATAATGCAGCACTTGTAAACCATGTGCTGTAAGCCTTTTATTAGCACTGGAAATGACCACATTTCCCTATGCAATTTGATTACATTACTCCTCCAAATGATTCCCTCCAAGTCAGCTTTGAATATTCTTATTGCTTTAAGGCTAAAAGATACAGGAATGAAAATCCAAGTTGACTTTAACATCAGATTTGAGTTAGTGAGACTCCTTTTTAGAAGAATACTTAAGGTAATTGGTTTTTCTAAAACTACAATTCTACCATAAATACAGTCATCCTTCTGTATTTTAAAAATAGTTTTTTATTAAAACTTTTTTGTGATTCTTTGAGCAGCTCATTACTACTCAAAACATGCAAAAATGTTGGCTGGTTTATTCCTTCATTATCTGAGTGCTACATAGTGACAGACAATTGGTGGAATGTAAACCTGCATTTCTCCCCCCACCCCATCCCCCCAATCTTGTGAGTGATATTAACTGAACAGATGTACAGCTTATATACACAAACATTTTAATAGATGGATTTTATTTAAGTATCGTCCACAAATACACAGTCACTTCACAGTAAATCCTGTGAAGCGCTTTGGGATGTCCTCCCGATGTGACTATACCAAATGATAGGATTATTAAATATGATCCTATATTTTTAAAGCTGTTACATGGGTCAGAATGCCTTATTACATATTATATCCATCGTTACACAATTGGAAGGTATTAAAATAATCAATAGGGAGTGATGGTTGTGTAATATAAATTATTATTTTTAATGATCCCTTTTCAGATTTTAATCCAGGAAGTCTTGAAGCAAGATGTCTCATATTCCTGGCAGTTCAGGATTTGCTTTAATGAGTGATAAATCAATGGAGTTTTATAAGGATCCTGTGAATTTTTGCACTAGCCGAATCCACAACACTGGGAGCAGAGTTTTCCAAGCACGTCTCCTCAACAAACCAACTGTATTTGTATGCTCTGTGAAAGGGATGAAAGAAATGTTGTGTGGTAAGTAAACTTATTTTGCAGTTAGAGTGGACAAAAAGTACCACATTGTAAGATTATGTCCCACAAGCTATCATTATACTTATCTGGTGAAAACAATTCTTATTGAATCATTGAACGATGCTCACAGAATCCTTGATTCCTATTGGGTAAGATGCAAACTTTAGTGTATCAGAACTATTGCTACAATTGAATGATTTTGTTTTTTTAATTAATATCTACTTATTGTTGCATTCAGTTTTGAAATCCCCAGCCTCATGAAAGCATTATTTCTGATTGGTGCTTCAAGAGGATTTTCTGTTCTCTATTCAAGTATTGTTTCCTATAATGTTTGTTTATAACCACAGTACTCTGTAGCATGGAGTCCCATAACTTACTGATTTGACCACTCGCCTCGCAAGCGAGAGGACCTGGGTTCGATTCCCGGGCAGGACGAAACATTGGGCAAGTTTCCTTGTCTACCCAGCAGTAAGTAGCAACTCTATTGTTGTTGTTGTTGGCTTTTCTGGGGTTAATATCCCTTCAAAACAATAAATAAATTAACAAATTTTGGCCTCTCAATCCAGAACTGTTTCTGGGACACTGCTCTGTGTAAATGGCTGCTGCATTTTTCCTGCAAAACACAGTCAATTCACTTTACCGTATATTCTGTGAAGTGCTTTGAGACATCTCGGAGACGCGATAAGGGGCAAAATGAAATCCAAGGATTATTATTTTTATTATTATTAATTTGGGGGTTCTTAATGCTTGACTCCTGCTAATTTGCCCCTAAATTATTTGGATTAGGTTAGCAATGTGTGTCCAGGGTGAGAGTGTGCACTGCATACTAGGCTAATGGAAAAAATGCATATGTGGAAAACTCACAACGCTTAGTTTGGAGAATTTTAAGCATCGTAATGGATTTAGATGCCTGGCTGATGAAAATAAATGTTGCTACTTTATACAGTATTTACTCATTAAATGGAGAATCATTTTAGTATTTCTTTGGGCTTCCCTGAAGTAAGTCTCAAAAATGAAAATCTGTTCAATGAACTGAAACAACTACATGCACACTTTATATTGCATCCCGTGAAGCTCTTTGAGATGTCCTCCTGATGTGAAAGACTCCATACCAAATGTAAGGATTATTATTTATCATTATAAATGTATAACACAGAAGAAGGTCAATTGGCCCATAGTATCTGTGCTGTCTCTTTTAAGAGCAATACTTTCAGTTCCATTTACCTGCATTTTCCTCTGCACCCTCTCTATAGCTTTGACATCCTTCCTAAAGTGGAGGGACCAAAACTAGGCACAATACTCTAACTCTGGTCTAACTCACAATTTGTACAATTTAAACATCAACTGTTTTGTTTTATATTCTATACCCTTGTTTATAAAACCTAGGATCCCATTAGCTTTCTTCACAGCTTTTTCACCTTTAAGGATTTGTATATTTTAACCCACTCTCTCTGCTCTCCAAATCCTTTCAAAATGTTACCATTTATCATATTTGGTCTCCTTATTCTTCCTCCAAAAATCTATTAGCTCATACTTTACTGTAAGTATGATATTTAATCTGCCATCTCTTGAATCAATCTACTGGTCTATATCCTGAAGGTGCTTATATATATATATATATATATATATATATACTTCTGATTTTTCCTTGCGTTTGGTATAGCACCTTTCATGTCAAGAAACCATCTCAAAGCATTTCACAGGATATTCTGCGAATTTATTGACAGTGTATTTTTGGTTGTGAACGTAGCAGTCAATTTTGCTCACAGCAATGTCCCACAAACAGCCATGAAGTGAATAACCAATTTTCACTTGTAAAATGTTGACAAGACACTCGGAGAAACTTGCTTCTCTTTCTACATGTAGCACTCTCAGTATTGTATTGGAGTAGCATGCAAGTTCAAAGTCCCAACATAGGCTTGAATCCACAACCTTTTGACTCAGAGGCGAGAGTGATTCCAACTGGACCAGGCTGACACACAGATGTCTTTGCTGCCTCCTTTGATTCCACAGTCTTCCCCCACCCCACCTACCCACCTCCTCCCAACTTGGTGTCATCTGAAAATGTGCCTGAAAATCAGGTCATGAATATAATTTAAAATTAATCTTTGCATTGGATATAGCGCTATAACAGAATGAGCACCTCATTGCAATATGAAGTAACACATTACGCTAATAAGCAAGGTCCATATATACATCATGAAAAGTATTTATCAACCTGGATTTATATGCAGCGTTGAACTAAGCAGCACCAATTGTTATGATCTACTTGATGATGTGTATTTGATGTACCATAATGATTTTTTGAGTCTTTAATTGTTCCTATTTTTGGTAGATGTTTGCATTGTGTTTGTATAAAGGTAACCAGAAGCAAGGTTATTGTGTTCAGTGGGTAATGTATATAAAATGCTATGATTGTTTTGGCATAATTCATTGACAATTCTATGAGGTCACTCTGTGCAACTACACAAGCTTCCCTGAACTGTGTGTTTTTGAATGACTTGCTAGAATGTCTATATGCATAATTTAATCCATTTTAATCTGGAGTTCTAACAAATTGCTTTTGCAGATAAAATGTCAATATTTGCAAAGGATCCTTCTACGGTTTTACATCAGTTATATGGTGCCAATCTAGTAACAACAAATGGTAAGATAGAACAGTTGTAAATAAAAACAGTATTAATGTAAAATATGTCTGAAGAACACTGAAGGTGAATGATCACTCTGGGGTATCCACAGCATCATATGTGTCACTATTTTACAGAAAAAGTCAATGTTTTTGACACGGCCTATACTGCTTCTATGTGTAAGCTGTTTGGAGACACCATCTGCTTCTGTAATGGTATGTTCCCTATAGTATTTATTTGAAGAAAACAGTGTAACTACATTAAAGTTATGAAATCACAGGATATGATCTCAGTAGAGCATAAAGTGAAAATCTAGTTATTAGAAAAACATTACCCCCACTATCCTAAAAGGTAATTATTTCTTAAATATTGAAAAATGCTTCAGACTGCAGATATGATAATCCCATAATCAGAGTATGATTATTGTATGTACTTGAAGATTTGTTTTAACTACATTTGGTTAATAAATTTGTCCAAATTAAATGCTGCATGGATTAATAAACAGCAAAACTTTTGGTCAATTTTTTTTAGAATGATGAATATGAATTAGATTCTATTTTTTCCCGCTTATTAAATCTTCCCTTTCTTTATTTCTTATTTTCCTATTGATACATTTTAGTGTGTTTTTGTTTATTTTTCCCTGCTGCACTTGGGTATAAACTTGTCCTGCATGCACTGTAGAATATTCCTTAACAATGTCCATTGATCCTCAGTTGATTTGTGCTTGAGTAATGCCTCCCAGTCTATATCTTTTAGCTCAGCCCTCATACTCTGAAGTTTGCATACCTAAAGTATACTACAGGTTGGAAAAAAAATTGTAAATAATTACCCTCCCCAACTCCCTCTCTGCTGCCATGGAATCATCTGAATTCCTGGGCTTTCTCCTCCAACAGCCTACCCAACTTGGTCATTCCTAGGTCATGGCACCTGGCTGAAATCCTACCTAATGATCCATTGACAGATCTGGCTGGACCACATCAAAATCTAATGCTCCACCCTCGACTCCACTAAATTGTCCTTCTACTCCATCTCCTTGGCCTTAGCCATCCCCAACTCCAATCGCGAGGAGATGCCGGACTTTCTCAAGACCAAAATCGAGGGGATACACTTGGCTGCTACTTCTGCCTTCCGTACCCCTACCCCCTCTCCACCTCCCTGTCACACTACAGCCCCAACCTATTCCCTCCCTCCACACCTTCTATCCTGTCTCCCTCTCCTCGCATCTCCATGTCCAAAATGAAGCCCACCACCTACTTCCTAGACCCCTATCCCTACCCCTCTCCTTACCTCCCTGCTCCACCTCCTTGCTTCTCCATTAACAGACATTAACCTGTGCTTAATCTCGACCACTATTCCTACCCGCTTAAAAAACAGCCATCATCACCCCTATTCCTCAAAAAAAAACTCCCTGGACCCATCCCTGCTCTCAAATTACCGAAGCATCTCCAACCAACCCTTTCTTTCCAAGGTCATCGAACAAATTGTTGCTTCCCAGCTTTGCTCCTTCCTCTCCCACCACTCCCTTACAAACCCCTTCAATTGTGTTTCCGCACTGCCCATAGTACAGAAACAGCCTTAGTCAAGATCACAAACAACATTTTGCCTCCTCATCCTTCTTGACCTCTCTGCTACTCTCAACACTGTTGACTATGCTATCCTCCTCCACTGCCTCCCCTCTCAGTTCAACTTTCACGATCTTTGGCCACCTCCTTTTCAATATCTATATGCTCCCCCTTGGTAACATCGTCTGCAGACATGGGGTTAACTTCCATACGTATGCAGATGGCACCAAACTCTATCATTTTATTTCAGATACTTCTAGCATTTAGTTATGCATCTAATTGTTACCCTTTACCCCTTTAACTTTCCTATCAGTTTCCGAGTCTTGTTATCTGTTGCTTTTGGGGATTCTTGCCCTTTTAGGTATTTTCCGTATTTTTTGTTTTATAATAATTTCAACTTTACTTGTCTCTTCCTGGTAGTCAGCATGCCAGAGCTCTTTTTCAACCAAAGCTTCCCCCCCACCCCTTCCAAATCTAGTTTGAATGAACCACAATTGCTGCTTCTATGTTTGTACCAACAGTGTAGCTCCTCATTTAGTTAGGTGAACACATTTTTCCTATAGACACTTTGCTACAAAATATTTCCGGGTTATCCACAAACTTGATTCCCTTCTGCACACACACTCTCCCTAACCAGTTGTTGAAGCGACTCTCTTGCTCGTTTATCCATACTCCTGGATAATACAGATAGTAACCCAGACACCAGCACCATTCCCCATTCTCTTCAAAACTCCTCACCAGCCCCACAGCTTCTTGCTTAACTCTCAGATCTTCTTTCTATGATGTAATCTGTCGCTACGACTGGATTAACTTTCCCTCATAATTTCATCTGACCTTATTTTTATATCACAATCTTTGCCATATACAGCCTTATTTATGTTATCTTCCTTGCAGATCTTCTTGTCCACAAACATTGATGAGTCCCTGAATACCATGGCGTAACTGGTAACCTCATGTCTTCTCCATTGTGGAGTCCTGTAGCTCAGTTGTTAGAGCACTCGCTTTGCAAGCGAGACACCTGGATTCAATTCCAGGCAGGGCGAAACCTTGGGCACGTTTCCTTACACCTCACGCCTGATAATAATCCCTCCAAAACAATAAAAAAATTGGTCATTTTCAATCCATGACTGTTTGTGGGACACTGCTGTGTGCAACTGGCTGCCGCGTTTCGCTCACAAATATACGGTCAATATTTACAGTATACTCTGTGAAGCGCTTTGAGATGTCTAGAAGACGTGAAAAGTACTATATCAAATGCAAGGATTATTATTATTATTGTGATACACTTAAACTGTATTGTTTCTGGCTCAACTCATGTGGGATCTCTACATTTGTTTATCTTACCTTGTCAGTGGTCTCAATACTTATCTCATCATCCTCATTGGAATCCAATACTAGGTCCCTGAGTCCAAGACCAAAGTTCTCCTGATTGACTCCCATCAGCATCTCCACACATCAGGCATTGACAGAATCACCATCCATGGCTGCACACTCCACCTCACTGAGCCAGTCTGGAACCTTGGGGTTTTGTTTGACCCTCAACTATCCTTTCTACCCCATGTCCGTGTTATAAACCGTTCTGCTTTCCCCCAGCTCCGCAACATCGGCCGGCTCCACCACTGCCTCACCCCTCAGGCCGCCGAAACCCTCATCCATGTATTCATCACATCTGGCTCAACTACACCAACACCGTGTTTTTGTCGGCCTTCCCATTTTTCCCTCCACAAGCTGCAGATCATCCAGAACTCTGCAGTTTGTGTCCTCTTCTGCACCAGGCTCCGTGACCCCATTACCCCCTCCCTCGCCTGGCTCCAGTGGCTCCCCATTCCTCAGAGGATACAGTTCAAAATCCTTGCCTTCAAGGCCCTCCATGGCCTTGCCCCTTCCTACCTCTGACCTGTTGACCCCATATCAACCTGTCCATTCCCTTCAATTGGCTGATGCGTTTCGCTCACAAAATATACAGTCAATTCACTTCACAGTATATTCTGTGAAGCGCTTTGAGACGTCTAGAAGACGTGATGAGGCACTATATCAAAAGCAAGAATTATCAAATTATTATTGTTAACAATTTCTCGGTTGAGCTGTGGGAAACCAGTTTAACCGCTTTATCCCACATTGTTGCCAAGAAACTTAAGGTTCCAAACTAAAATCTGAAAAGACTTAGACTTGCTATGTTATAATTTTCTTAAATCGTTTCCTGCTAACTATATCTATAAGCCTTGTACACAATTCTCCAACGATATTGTTCTAAATTCCCTACTTACAAAGTTTTTTCTTGATTTCAAGTAATTCAAAGTTCTTTGCTTGGGTGGAGTGCCACATGCCCCCCCTCTGTTCAAAGATTTACAAAGAATGTATGGCATGGAAATAGGCCATTCCTGTTGTTTACAGTCCACATGATTCTCCACCGACTCCTTACTCCTCCCAATCTCTTCTGTTCTCCTTTCCCTGATGTGTAGATATAGCTTCCTCTTGAATGCAAATACACTATCTGATTCAACCATTGCTTTAGGCTGCGAATTACACAATCTCAGCAGTGCCAGTGAAAAATGTAATTGCCATTTTTTTTCAGGTGAGGTGAGATTGCGTGTACAGGATGGGTCTGGAGCATTCAAATTATGGTTCTGGTGTCTAACATTCTATTTATTCAAGCTGCACATTGAAGGTCCCATGGTTTAATGTACTGTGCTCAAGGAAATAAGTCAAAGTCCTGAGAGGAGAAGTGCTATGTAGCAGGGTGCCCAGTGAATTGTGGAGGGTCAACGAGGATGTGCCTTTTGAGTCTGTGGCCAGTATTTTTGAGTCTAGGAGGTGGCACCCCTATCTTTGCATGAAGTAAATACCTCCTAAATTATCTTAGATCCCCTAGTCGCTGTGTTATGCTTGTGTCCCCTGGTTACGGTTTCCCGAGCCAGGGAAACAGCCTATTTATGTTAACCTTATCAAATTCTTTTATAATTTTAAATGCCTCCATTAGGCCCATCTCAAAGATTTCTTCTTTAGTTTTAAAAAAAGGCCAAACCTATTCAGTCTATCCTGATATCAGTTACCTGCCAGCCCTGGTATCATCCTAGTAAATCTATGCTGTACTTTTTCCATCACTGCTATATCCTTGTAGTGTGGAGACTGCAGAATTGGACATAATACTCCAAATGTGGCCTAAATAAAGTTTTGCATGAATTCAAAATCACCTACTCACGTTTGTATTCTATCCACTGGATAGAGTCCTCATTCAAGACTCTATTGGCCTTTTATAGCCCTATCTACCCGTGTAGCTAGTTTTAGAGAGTTATGGATCTGAATTTCCAAATCTCTTTGCTCCTCTATTCCTCTTGGGTTCCTACCATCTGGATTATAGACGGCTTCTTTATTTTTCCTGCCGAAGTGAATTACTTTGCAATTTTCCTACATTAAACGTAATTGGCCATCTAATTGCCCATTCTGTTAGCCTGTTTATGTCTTCCTGCATTCTTTTGCAATCTGATTCACTGTTTACCAACCCTCAGGCCCAAGTTGGTGTCATTAGCAAATTTTGACCCTACAAAACCTGAATCCAGATGATATATGCATATTAGAACAGTAGCGGTCCCAACACAGATCGCTATGGAACACCACTTTCTACTTCTTGCCATCCTGAGATGATGCCCTTAACTCCTACCTTTTGCTTTCGGTTTCCTAACTGTTCTTTAATCCATTCTGCTACTTTTCCTATGTTTCTACATGCCCCTGTTTTAGTTATGAGCCTCTCATATGGCACTTTATCAAAGGCCTTATGGAAATTCAGATAGGCTACATCCACCGCATTTCCCTCATCTATTTTACTGGTTACATCTTCAAACAATTTGATAAGGTTTGTCAAGCATGACCTATTTTTGTAAGTCCATGCTGGCTGTTCTTAATTATATTCTCTTTCTCCAAGTGACTAGTTTATTTAGTTGTGCTAAAAGCCTTGCCCATAAACAATGCTAACGTGACTGGTCTGTGATTTCCTGTTCAGTAGAAACATTCTTAAAGTTTACTATCTTTATTTACTGGTTTACTAACTATTTTTGAATTAAAATTATGAAGTATTTTCAGTATTATTCCACTGAACTCAAATATAAGCTTCTTCTCTCACCAGCACAGGAATATTTCCCTCAACTTCTCCCTGCCACCCAACCCTCTATTGTCTCCTGCCCCGAAAGGAATTTGCCCCCCCCCCACCACCCTGCCATTCCTTCTCTGCTGCTCTTGAGTAATCCATACTCCTGCCCCACCCACAGGACCCCTCCTCCTCCAAACAAGACCTTTCCTCCTCAGTCAAGCGCCTACAAAACTCCCTCACAAACATTATGGCATTCTGGATCCCAACTCCCACACCATCTCAATCCACTCTGCTATCTTTTCCTTGACTCCATATAGCTAGATTTTAGTTGTGAGTCTCATGTATAGCACCTTATTAAAAGCCTTCTGGAAGTCCATATATAGCACAGGCACTGTGTTTTGCTTGTTTATCTATTATTTCTTCAAAGAATCCAATAAAGGTGAAAGCTCTTGCACTGAACTTTAACTCAAAAAATTGGCTGCAGAGTGTGTTAATGTTGACTTATGGAAATTATTTAAGAATTATACTTCAACAGCTTACACAAAGACAGTTGTACTGATTTTGGTTATTAGTACTTTTACACAATATTCATTCAATCGTATTCAGCCCCAACTTAAATCTGAACCCTAGATTCTACACTTCAGTTTTCTTCTTACATCAGTGAACTGTTTCTTTTGTGTTAATTGCTGCTCATAAATTGTATCAATAAATTGTAAATTTGTAAATTTCTGTTCTCTTGAACTTTATGTATTTCCTAGAACTTTAGTTACTTTTTTTAGTTATTTTACTGTGTACCAAAGAATACAGTGAAATTCTGATAACTGATAACTCTCATTACCCTAAGAGAGATAGCTTAAATTATGACTTATCAGAGCTGACGAGTTATCCAAAGTATCATTGCTATTAGCCATAGTGTATGTGGGCTACTCTATATCAGTGCTTTATTTAATAATTGGCATAGCCACTGATAAATAAACACTTTATCATTCAAAATGCATATATACTGTATTATTTATTTGAATACCCAATACATGGCATAAGATATTTAACTGAATATAAAATTAGATATTGTTATCCCGACCAAACATGTGTGTGGGTATTTGAATTGGTGTGAGAAAGAAGTTTCTAAATTTAAGTTTTTTTAAATTTAAAATGCTTGCGTAAATCTTTAAGACATTTAACTCATACGATGCAAGAAACTGAATAGGAGCAAACAATTGCAGTAATTGGTATACATTAACTGTATGGATACATCAATTGCAAGCTAATAACACAATGCACAGCAAAAATGACACAGACACAGAATAATCTTTGTTTGCCATACAATCATAAGTTGCATATCCACAGTTGCAACCAAGTATAAAGTGCCCAGTAGTCCTGTTGCAACTATGGATTTGCTTTTTCAATTGATGAGTTATCAGAGGTATTTTACATGGAAGCACTGTCTTAAAAGTGTGAAAACTTAACACATTATATCCAGAGTGACAAGTTATCCAAGAAATCATAATTAACATTTCTTAAGTTAAACAGCTGGAATATTGATGAGTGATGAGTTATGTGAGGTTGATGGAACTTATCCTAGAGGTGAGTTATCAGAGTTTCACTGTAGTAAAGTTCTTATGTAGACTGTGTTGAAATTATAATATCATACGATATTTCTTCTATCACTGAAGAACGATCTGAATTTGAAATCCAATTATCATTTTTGTTAGTGCTGCTTGATATCTTTAGAAAGTGCAAAGTCATTATGAATCACACAAAAGCTCTTTGGAGTGAAATAGCTCTCACACAAAACTAACCAGGTAACTAACCAAGATTAGATCCAAATTAATACTTTCTTTCTCTTACCTTCCAGTTTACATGCACTACTTTAGTAAATATTTTTGAAAGGTAAAGTCAGAACAGTGAGGATTGACAAGAGCACTTTAAAGTTCTGGCCATATTATTCTTATTTACCAGTAAACAATGACATATATTTGTTGGCAGCTCCGAGAACACTTGAACGTATAACCTTTAGTCTTGGGAGCAGCCGGGTGTCTGACTCATGTGGAAACCCATCACTGTGCTTAAAAATAGCCAAACCAAACAGAGGTATGATGGGTTTGGCCCTGATATGCGTTTGCTTCATGACTCTGCAAATATCAGCAGGTGTTCAGAGGTAGAAGAATTCTTGTTTGGGTTGATATTCCACAAAACATCTAGACTAAAGAGACTGAACAATGCTCTTTTATGCATCTTTTCCAAACTTGAGAATTTGCAAAGCCCACTGCTATCAAATATTTATCTCGTAAGCTGCAAAAGAGAACCGCAAATCACAGCTTTTGGCAAGCGGATGACTGAAATGCATTTTTTCCTCAAATCAGGAGGAATGATCTTTGGCTTCTGGCTGGACTGAAAAAATACCAGGTAACTGGCTCTCCATCATCAAACAGATCGACTTCAAGATCCTCACACTCGTTTTCAAATCCCTTCACTCCATGGCACCTCCCTAACTCTCCGATCTTCCTCACTCCCCAATAAACCAAATGGTGCCTCTGCTCGACTGGCACCAGCCTCCTGCTTGTCCCTCATGACCTCTGCTCCATCAGTGGGGGTCGCACATTCAGCCACCGTGCCCCGAAGCTCTGGAACACTCCATCAATCCCTTGCCCCCTCTCTCCCCTTTTTCAAGTCCCGCCAGAAAACCTTCCTTTTGTGGAGTCCTGTAGCTCAGTGGTTAGAGCACTTGCTTTGCAAGCGAGAGACCTGAGTTCAATTCCAGGCAGGGCGAAACCTTGGGCAAGTTTCCTTACTCCACACGCCTAATAATAATCCCTCCAAAAACCAAAACAATAGTAAAAATTGGTCATTTTCAATCTATGACTGTTTGTGGGACATTGCTCTGCGCAATTCTGCCAAGTTCGCCCACAAATATACAGTCAATTCACTTTACAGTGTATTCTGTGAAGCGCTTTGGGACGTCCTCCCGATGTGAAAAGCGCTATATCAAATTCAAGGATTATTATTATTATTTTCGACTGTGCTTACGGTCACCTCCCACCACACCCCCACCCCGCTTGGAATCAGGCTCCACTACTGTTAAGCGCTCTGAGACACTACCCTGTGTAATGGGTGCTTTTTAAGTGCAAGTTGTTGTTGTAACCTGGACCCCGTCTTAATGAATCCACTGAAACCCTGGTCCATGCCTTTGTCACCTCTCGGCTGGACTATTCTAATGCCCTCTTTGCCAGTTTCCCCACCACTACCGTCCATAAAATCCAGGTCATACAAAACTCTGCCGCCCGCATTCTTACCCGCATCAAACTCCGCTCCTGGATTACCCCAGTCCTTCCCAGACTGCATTGGCTGCTTGTCCCAGAGAGGATCAACTTCAAGATCCTCACCCTTGTCTTCAAATTCCTCCACTCCTCTGTACGCCCCTAACTCTCTGACCTCCTCCTCACAACAGTGGCCGTTGCCTTCGTTCCACCGGGTCTGGCCTCCTCCTTGTCCCCCGAGTCCTCCGCTCCACCCTCGGCGGCCGTGCCTTCAGCTACTATGCCCCGAAGCTCAGGAAATCCCTTCCTCACTCCCTTCGCCTTGCTCCCTCTCTTCTTATTTTCAGGTCTCGGCTGAAGACCTTTCCTTTCGATCGCGCCTTTGGTCACCTTCCTCCCCCTCCCACTGGCTTGGAGCCCCGGATCTGTTACTGTGAAGCGCTCTAAGTCACCGTCCGGCGTGGAGGGCGCTATATAAATCCAAGTTGTTGTTGTTGTCGAATCACTTGAAAAATAAGTTCCTTCTTACCACAAGCTGCCCCAGTAGAGGAAAACAGGACACTTCCAGTGGGGAAATAAGCAAGGCAAGGACAGTGACAGAACTTTTAGTCAAGGTAGAGAGCATCTCTGTAACCCTCTCTTCTCCATCCAGCACAACAGAACCCACGTTTTCAGACAAAACAAATTGTGTCCACTTTAAACCCATAACAATGCTAGTGTGTGCACAGCCATGCCAACAAGTCTAATATTCCAATACACTTCTCGACTACAAAAATGTACAATGACTTCACAAAATGTATGTTTAAACAATTGAAAACAAAAACTTGTTGAATTTTAAAAGAAAATGCACTGTAAAGTATTTAAGCAGAAAGAGCAAACTGACAAACATTAGTAAAGATGCTGTTTGCCTATTAGTTTGCATGATATAATAACAATAGCTTTAATTGATTAAGGTTATTGATTCAGTTTGTAAAACTTATTGAGATTTAAGCCCGTTGTTTGTGACATGTTTTACGTATTGTTATAAATCTCTCTAATGGTGGTGGCTTTTTAAATATTTTCTCAATTAATCATTTCCACATCTGTTCAGGAGAAGAAGCTCATTTATTGAGATTATCACTCATGCAGCTGTTTAAAGAGAAATCACTAGATGCGTATGGAGATTACATTAACAGGTAGGATTTTCTGTAGATATTAATCACATAAATTTAATGGTGACTTTTATGGTATCTTATTGAGCTCCTGTAGAAAACAACATATCTCCACTGTTCACATTAATCTGCTCTGAGTTTTTTTGTTGTTGATATACACTGCTGAATAAATTGACAACAACAAATTGCATTTATCTTCTATCCTCTATCTTCTTCTATCTTATACTAATAAAACGACAATGTCTGTCTGTGCTTCAGGAAGGATCTCAATAACCCGTTGACGTAGAGACATTATTTATACCTCATCGGAAAGGTCTTGCATCTAGGAGTACATGCGCATATTTGATTTTGGTTATCTCCTATTTTTCATGAGTTATTTTTGGATGTGTATTTTTTACTGCAGTTACACCTGGTGGCTGCCAAGTCATTGTGGCGCTGTGTGTATGTACGTACACACGCACTGCAGTTATTTCTGGTGGCCATGCTGGATGGCCATGGTGCTGTGGCGACACAGAGAATGTACATATGTACACACGCATTGTAGTTACACCTGATGGCTGTGGCACTGTGGCATCCTGCATCACAGAGCACGCACGTAGCCAAGCCGTGGGGACGAAATAAAGAACACAGACGAAGCTAAGCCACGGCAACAACAACAAAATTACATTTTTAAAGTGCTGAGTCCCCCCACTGGAGTTTCCCCCACCCCCACTGGAGTTTCCCCCCCCCCACACTGGATTTCCCCCAACCCACTGGAGTTTCCCCCCCACAGAGTCTCCCCCGCCCCCCCCCGCTCACCCCACTGGAGTTCTCCCGATGAGTTTAGATAAAGGTGAAATGTCTCTCTGTGGGTCTATGTGCGTGTGTCAATTTACATTCCATATTGGATCCTTTGGTAGCAAGCGAAGCTGCAATGGGTACAGCAAGTATAGTATAAAAGCAGAAGTTGCTGGGAACCCTCAGTAGGTCTGGCAGCATCTACGGAGAGAGGAAAGTGAGTTAACGTTTCACGTCAATGACCTTTCATCAGAACTGGGGGATGTTGGAAGGGAGCATTTTATAAGGACAAACAGAAAAGGCCGGGGTGTGGGGGCGGGCAGAAAGACAAGGGAAAAAATTAGATAGAGAACAGGAGATGATAAGATCACAGAGGTGTTGATGGTGCAAGACAAAAGAAAGCAAGAGTGGGAGATTAGAGAAAGAAAAGATATATCTGCGACCCAGAGTATGTGTGAATGGTTATAGAAGATGTGAGCTGTAGTTAAGGTCTGAAGTAGTTAAAATCAATGCTAGAGGGCTGCAAAGTAACTAAAATGTAGATTAAGTGCTGTTCCTCGAGCTTGCGTTGTGCTTTATTGGAATTGCGTAGGAGGCCATGGACAGAGAGGTCAGAGAGGGAAGGAGAATTAAAGTGGCAAGCAACCAGAGGCTCTGGATTGCATTTGCGGACAGAATGGAGGTGTTTGGCAAAGCGATCAACCAATCTGTGCTTGGTCTCCCTGATGTAGAGGAGACCACATTGTGAGTAGTGAATACAGTAAACTGCTTTCGTGGAAGTACTTGTAAATCACTGTTTCACCCGAAAGCAGTGTTTGTGGTCCTGGACAGTGGTATCAGAGGAGGTGAATGGGCAGGTGTTGTATCTCCTACACTGGCATGGAATGGTGCGGGGGGAAGGAGAGCAGGTGTTAGTGGAGATCAAATTTTATTATTTTTTTGTCCATTTCGAAAGACCACTCTCTCACTGTTAGTACAATTGAGTCAGATACAATACAATAAACATTATACTTGTATAGAGCTCACGTCAGGAGGATATCCCAAAGAGATCGACAATTCTGGATGATTCTGAGTGGTGAGGGGAGGAAAGATGGCAAAAGGGTGGTTAAAGAAGTACATTTTGAGGCGTACTTGAAAGAGGAGAGATAGCAAGTTGGTGGTTGGAGTTCTGAGAGCGGGTGACAAGTGGCTGAATGGAGTGGGCCAATGTTTGCCGAATAAAGGGAATGGCAGGGTTAATAAGGTTGAAGGTGGTTTCAGAGGTAGGGTGGATGAGAACGTGGGCAAAAAGAATTTAAATGTGAGCATGAAGTTCTTGAATTTGATCCGCTGAGGACTGGGGAACCAGTGGAGCTGAGCAAGGATGTGGGTGTAAGTTTTGCAGAGCCTTGTACGGGAGATAGGCTGCAGATTTCTGATTGTCTGCAACTTGTGCAGGTGAGAGCAATTTCACCAATTTCTGAAAGAGTTGATCATTCTTAAGTCTTTCCCTGTTGTTATCCTGAATTTTATTCAAATTGCAAGTGCAGTCAATGATACTGTACTGCTTCTTAGAGTTTCAAATTCATGAATTGGATGGAATCCAGTGGTTAATTTGTTAATTGTTAATTTAATTTTTATTTAAGTTCATTGTTAATTTGGTAATTCATTAATTGTGATGCTCCATCACTGTCAAGTGCTCTGGGATGCTACCCTGCATGAGGGTAATATATAAATGGAAGTTGTTGTTGTTAATCACCTCATTGAATCTCTATGGGTTAAAGGAGGAGTTACAATAAATTCATAATGTATTTTGATATTTAAATATTGCGAGATTTATTGAAGTATATTATTTTTCTTTGATTTTTTAAAATTCTGTTACATATTATTCCAGGGGTAATAATTCCCGGGGTGGTAAAAATAAAAAATAATAATTTGGTCACTCACTCCACGATGGTTTGTGGGACACTGCTGTGCACAATTGGCTGCTGTGTTTTGCCCACAAAATACACAGTCAATCCACTTTATTGTATAATAATAATAATCCTTGCATTTGATATAGCGCTTTTCACGTCGGGAGGACGTCCCAAAGCGCTTCACAGAACACACTGTAAAGTGAATTGACTGTATATTTGTGGGCGAACGCGACAGCCAATAGCGCACAGCAATGTCCCACAAACAGTCATGGATTGAAAATGACCAATTTATTATTGTTTTGTTTTTTTGGAGGGATTATTATTAGGCTCTGTGTGGAGTAAGGAAACTTGCCCAAGGTTTCGCCCTGCCTGGAATTGAACTCAGGTCTCTCGCTTGCAAAGCGAGTGCTCTAACCACTGAGCTACAGGACTCCACATATTCCTGTGAAGCGCTTTGAGACGTGTCAAAGACATGATAAGGTGCTATATCAAATGCAAGGATTATTATTGTGTATATATGTGTGTGTGTATATATATATATATTCTCAAATGGTTTATTTTACCTCCAGGGTATGTGAGAGGAATCTGAGGGACCTCGCGCTGAGGTAAGAAAGTAAATCCTTGACCTAAAACTGGTATAAAGAGCTTAACACTGGAATGCACATAAAGGCCATTAAAGGGTGTTTTGTAATCTCCAAAATAAAAACCCAGATAGTTTCAGGTTTTTTTCAAGTCTATTTTTTATGTCATAAAAGCAGGATACAATTGAAGAGGAAAATTTTGATAGAGGGTAAACCTGGTGAAAACTTGGATTCATTTTGCAACAGAACCTCAGAATAGCAAGTCAGATACTAAAAAAATACAAGTTGCTTTATTGGTAAACACCGTCGCTGTGCCTGAAATAGTTAAAATTTTCTTTTTACCAAAAAAAAGGATGTTTATGATGATTTCTTTAAAAAAAATAGTACAACTAGTGGTCCTGAGGTGTACACTCTGGATCAGTATCCTGCACTGGGTACAGTTGTATGGACATTGGTTAAGGACAAGCTTGTGCTTCAAAACTGATGCTCTCTAGATGTATATAATGCTGACATTTGTTGCTGTAACTCATACATGACGAATGGTATTTGAGGAACAGAAAAGCCATCTTCCTTACACAATGTATCAATATTAATTGCTGTAACTGAATAATTTATTCAGCATTCTGTCTGCCGGCCCTCATCGATTTTGAAACTGCTTTTGTGAGTACATGTACGAGCCACAGCAAAGCTGGTAAGCTAATGTGTGAATCCTGAAATCCACAAGGCTTATGAATAAAATTAAAGCCTGTAGCTCAAGATGTAGCACTACGAAATTTATGGCAAGCCCTTATCTTTACAGCTGTATTGTTTAGTCAGTGTGCATGAGTGAAGCATTGGGTCTAATTTCTAATATTTTTTACTTTCATGAACTGGATGCAAATTATGCCTGCAAATAAGATGGATACCAAAATTGAGTCTGATGAATTTTGAATCTAATGAATTGCAAATCCCAAGCAAGCAACATTCAATAACAGCAAATTATATTGTATAATGCCTTTCATGTCAGGAAGACGTCCCAGGTAAACGCTGGACAGTCAGGGATTTGGACTCAAGCAGGGGTTTGGGATCAGGTGAAGTGGAGGGCAGGGAGGGTAGAGGTAGGAAGGTTACTGAAGGTGCAGTCGAAGAAGAGGATCTTGAGATGTGCCTTGAAAGGAGGCAAGGGAGGGAGCGAGGCAACGGGATGGGGGATGGACTTCCAAAGGGTGGAGGCAGAGAGGCTGAAGGCCTGACTGCCAATGGTGGGCTGGGCGGAGGACATGGAGCTTGCTGAGCAGATGGAGCAGACAGGTCGATATGGAGTTAGCAGGCCACAGAAATAGGAAGGAGCAAGGCTGTGGAGAGCTTTGAAGGCGAGGAGGAGGATTTTGAACTCTATCTTCTGGGGGATGGGAACCAGTGGATCTGGACGAGGGTGGGGGTGATAGGGTCACGGAGCCTGGTGCAGGAGAGGACATGAGCTGCAGCATTCTGAATGATCTGCTGCTTGTGCAGGGAAGAGCTGCAAAGGCCAACAAGCAGGGAGTTGGTATAGTTGAGCCTGGATCTTATGAGTGCATGGATGATGGGAGAATCAGTGGGGGAGCCGGGCGATGTTGCTGAGGTGGGGGAAGGCAGAGTGGGTCATGGCACAGATGTGGGGTAGAAAGGACAGTCGAGGATCAAACAAGATGCCAAGATGACTGGCTCAGTGAGGTGGAGTGTGCATCCTTGGATGGTGATGCTGTCAGCGTTTGAGGTGTGGAGGCGCTGACGGGAGCCAATCAGGAAAGCCTCGGTCTTGTTGACATTCAACTGGAAAAAGTTAGCTCTCATCTCATTCTGTCAGTACAGCAGTGGTCCTGGAGTCGAGGGTGGAGGCAGAGGGATAGAGTTGGGTGTCATTTGCATACATGTAGAAGTTGACTCCATATCTGCAGATGATGTCACCAAGTAGATATTGAAGAGAAGCAGTAATAAAACAAATAAAATCCTGGTGGATTTTGATTATCTAGCATTTGCTGTGAAACACTTCATCATATTTATCACACCACACTCAGTTGGCAAATATTGCAAATGAAACTCCATTTTGCTGCTTTGTAAATTCAATTTGAATAAATACCATTCAACTATGTAAAAACTACATGGAATGGGTTTGTCTGCTGTAATGATTAAAAAGAGTGGTATGTCTTTGGGAGAACTGTTCATAATACATGGAGAGGAATGATTTAAGAATCAGAGTTGACACTGGATGGGTTCAATAAATTGATTGACATACTGAATCTTCCTTTTTGTGAAATCTGGGTTTTCTCTTTTATTTGAGACTCAGAATGTCTCAGTTGGCCTCAAGGTCTGAAAATTGAGTTTGTGGGGTTGAAACCAATAGCATTATTGTCATCTCATTGCCTCAAAAGCAAGGTGTTAAGAGGTATAATCTGCATTCTGGACCACAAAGTACATCATGAGGACTTGCTAAGACTTGCTACGTCATGAGGACTGGCTTTGACTCAAGATCGCTTTGGAACTGAGATCTCACAAGTTAGCAACGTATGTGTTGTTCTCTGCTGAGCTGACAGTTTACACTATGAAGTAGTGACAACAAGATAGCTGTAGAGCTATTACTTTGCTGAGGTGCACTTTTTCAAGTCCATATCTAACAACAACAACTTACACTTATATAGCGCCCTCCACTCCGGGTGGCATCTCAGAGCCCTTAACAATGGTGGATACCAAGGCCGAGCCAGGGAGAGGGGGAAGGTCTTCAGGAAGATCTAACATCAGAAGTTGAGTTTATAATTTAGACTGACACTCCAGTTCAGTGGTGAGGCACTGCAGCATTGGTAGTGATATATTTGAGTGTGAGTTTTGCACTGAGATCCAATCTGTCTGCTCAGATGAAAATTAAGGATCCAGAGAAATACTCTGAAGAACAGGAAGGTATTTTAGCATTCTGCCCAATATTTCTAGCTCATCCAAATTCATCAGAAACAATGATGAAAATAAAAAGAAATCAAATACCAAATGAGATTTTTTTTAAAAAAAAACTTATTTTGCACCCAATAATTATGTCAAATTTACTAGAAACCAGAAGCATGTCAAACTAGTTCTACATTTGGGCAAGGTTGCAAAACTTTGGGCAAGTTTCCTTACTCCACACACCTTTGTTTACCTAGCAAGTAGGAATCCGGTTGTTAGTCGATTGGCAGATCGCTATTCCAGGGTTAATAATTCCTTCAAAAGAAATAATAATAATAATAATAAATTGGTCACTCAATCCACGATTGTTTGTGGGACACTGCTGTGTGCAATTGGCTACCACGTTTCGCCCGCAAAATATACAATCATTTCACTTTACAGTATATTCTGTGAAGTGCTTTGAGACGTCTCGAAGACGTGATAAGGCGCTACATCAGATGCAAGGATTATTATTATTTAAATATCTGAGCATATCACATGTTCTGTTGCATCATGCTTATCTGAGCTGATTGTTAACAATGTTATTTGTGGGGGTTGAAGATTCGCTGCCAAATTTGCTTGGTTTAACAGTAGCCTCTGCACCTCAAACTAACTCATTTTGTGTCATACTTTGAAGCATTTTGACATAAGGGACTACATAAAGTGTAACATTTATTTTAGATATCGCTAAAATATTGATATTTGAATCTGTCATAGAACCAAAGGTATTTAAATACATTGTAGTCATTGTTGAATTCTGACCTCTTTCCAAATTTATTTTCTACAGTAGTGAACCTGTTGCCATATACCGTCTGTTCAAACGTTTGGCTACAGAACTGTCCTTGGGACTTTTTCTTAATGTTGACGCAGAGGAATCTGCAGCACTCACCAAACAGATTATTCAGCTTACAACACAACATTGGCATGGTAAGCATTCAAGTTGGGTGTGATGTGACATTGTTCCCAAATCTCCTCCTCTCCTTGCCCTTTAATTGTAGAATTAGTGCCAAAGAGCACTGACTCAGCAGAAAAATTAGGGGAAAGGTTACAAGGAATTTCTTCACTTATAGGGTTGTTTAGGGGTTGGAATTCATTACCATAAGTTGGGTATTGTGTTAATCAACAGAATTGAAAATATATTTGTCAGTACTATACACCCACGTAACAGAGAATAAAAACAGATGCATGTAAATTTTTTCCCATGGATCTAGTATATGAAGGGTACATTTAATAACCACCATGCACAAAATAAGTGAGAAAATACAGTCAATCAAGATTCCACCAAATCTCAGCTGACAAGTCCATGTTGTCTTAATTTTCACAATTCCACAGAATTGTGGAAAATTCTCAATTTCATCTTAATTTTTAAGTTGGTACTTCCTAAAAATAGCAGAAAAATGCCTTCCAAATTAAAAACAAAGTTTAGAATTTTGTCTAATTAAAATGTTCTTACAGGCTAAGATTGATCAGATTTTTGGGATAGCCTTCACTTTAAAATTACATTTAAAAGTCACCTCCCAGTTTACATTATAATTCAATTCCATAGATTTGAGAACGAATCCATCACAAGCAGAAATCAAGGTAAAGAAACCCTTCAGTTCTAGTCCTCCAGATTCTCTGTACTATTCTCAATATACAATCAGATGTCCCTCTTCATAACACTGTAAGACAAACTTGTTTTTAAGACAACATTGGTAGAGAGTGTGCAGCTATTACAGGTGTATTTCATTTCATTCGTGAAAGTTGTTGTCACCCAGTTTATATGTGTAAACGTTTATCTACATGGCAGCAATTTGAACATCTTACATAGACCTATGTGGAAGGACTTTTGATTCACCCTGAATAGTTGGTGTCAAACAGGTTGGTTCACTTAATATTATTTTTTGATTAACAGGGTTAATCTCTGCACCTGTCAACCTGAAAGTGCCTGTGTGGACTTCAGGATTTTCGCTGGCTCTAGAGGCTAAAGAAAAGCTATTAAAAATCATCAATGAACGCCTTAAGAGTGATGAAGATGGGTAAGCATTATACAAAACAATAATAATGTCCCATGTTTCTAATTTTTCTTTATTGTCAGAAAGACATTACTTCAATCTCCCTGGTGAGACAGCATGAACACCAACATATTTCTAGGTGCTCCTCAGTTGCCATAAAGCAGGTCCTCACTCCGTGAGCCATTTCAGCTCTGCGGAGACACTGCTTAACACCCACCCCACCTGCCGAGGATAGTCACAAGTCGGCCATTTGAAATACGACCAGCATTTTTTTGAGCCCTCACTAGGTGGGTGGCAGGTCCCAGGAACTCCCTGTCAGCTTACTGGTGCAATACAGCTGAGGATAAAATGGTGGGAGGATTTGATTTTCACAGCACAGCTTGTAACATGCCAGCCACTCTGAAGTTCTCCAAATCCAATTGGGGTCACCCACCACCATGACCCATTGGGTTGCTCAGTGTTCAAGATGATTAGTGCAGCACATAAGGTCCCCAGGTGAGACCACCAGCAGCACAACATTGTCCACAAACGTGAGCGCCGCAATCCTATCAGAGAGGCCTGAGACAGATACAGCAAGTCCATCACCCTCAATGCCATCCAACATTGCTCTGAGACGCTACCCTGCATGGAGGGGGCTATATAAGTGCAAGCTGTTGTTGTTAATGAATACATCAAATAGGGTGGGTGACAATGGGCTCTTTCAATAGTGATGGGCTCAGTAAGTCCACCATCAATCTTTACACAGATCTGGGAGCTGGAATACACATTCCAATAAAATCCAAGAATTGGCCATGTATTTACATGACTTTCAGTTTCATCATGAGGGCTTCATGAAATACTAGATTGAAAGCCTTGTACAATTCTGTCAACATAACCTAGGTGGGTTTCTCTTTAACCTTGCAACGTTCTGCAGTCTCATACAGAGCCACAACCTGTCCTGCACATTTCTCACAAGAACAGAACGTTCATGTTCCTTCCTGATTAAGCCACAAGGGTCCAGTGGGTATGATTCACATGCAGTGACCACCCGAAGCACCAGTTTACGAGCCACTGAGATTAGTGATATCCCTCTATAGTTATTGGTCTCGCTATAGTCACCCTTCTTCTAGATAGAAACCAGAATTGCACTCTGGAACACTGTCGGGGTGCGTCCCTCAGAGAGAGTCCTGTTGACCAGTGCTAGGATGGCAGCTCCAAGGCGAGTTGGGGGTTTCTCACTTTGATCTATAAGATCCTTACTGTTCTACTCCCCTCCCCCAGCAGCTTTTAAGAACTCAGCATTAATGCTGTCCAGATCTGCTGCCTTTCCCATAAATAAGGGTCAAAGTCCCATAAATAGCCTTAAGATGAATGACCAACTTATCTAGGGGATAGGTGGTCAGACACCGGGAGAAATTCCCTTCTATTTTGAAGTCCAAGATTTGGCCATGTATTTACATGGCTTTCTGTTTTGAATGTCTAACTGATGAACAGGCAGATGAGACCTTGGTTTAAGTCTCATTCAAAAACAGAACCTCCAAATGTACACTTGCCTGGCACTGCACAAGAGTTTGACCCTTGACCGTGAGCTCAAGCCTGATGTAGGATTTGTAACCATCCAAAGCACCAGTGATCCAGAGGCGAGAGTGTTACCATCTTAGCCAAGCTACATAATTGTACTTGGAGACTAAGAGAACATTTTGTACCTTTCAAACTGTTCCTTTTCTGTTCTCGTTAACTGTGCCAATCAACCTTAATTTCTCAGTATAACACATTATTCTGTTTTACAGTTCAGAGATTGAGACTTTGAAGTAAACGTGAAGAGGTTAACCAAAAAATCAGATCCCAAATATGTACTTTCATGTTAAGAGAAAAGCCTATAACATGGAAACTGTAGCAGTGCACACAGATGTGATTCTGTATCTTGCAATGTAATCCTGTGATGGGATAGTACTACATTTGGATCCTTAAGATCCATAATGTGGTTCAACATATTAATTTAGCAATGTTGCAGTAATGGTAGTCTGAACTTTGTACGTGACATCTTTTTCACCCATCCGGTGTTCCTTTATGAACAAGGGCAGAATATGAGTTTGCTCTCAAACCAATACAACCCTCGCCCTGTTTCAGTTTTGCTCCGACCATTTAATGTACTGAGTATTCATTGTGTACTTATCAGTTAGCACAATCACTGTCATTAACATATCTTTCATCAGTTTACACTAATCTGTTCAGCAGACTCCTCAGTAATAGCTGTTGATTAAAGGAAGTGGGGGATGTATTTGTTATATTTAATTGACCTTTTATATCTTTTTAAGGGCCTTTGATTCTCTTATGGCAACAAAAGTTCCACCAATAAAGCAATGTGGAGCAGGAAGCCCAATTTATATTTGCCCACTTGAAATCACATCAAATTGAGACCAGTAAAAGAGAAGTGTCTGATTTCAGTGTGTGAATGTGGTAGAACACTAAATCAGAATCTACTTCTTGAATAACATTAAATAGTCATTGAAAGTTCCCTCCAGTCCCAAGACCATTTGATGAACAAAGGGGAGTGGGCCCAATGTATTTTGTAGTGTAGGAGCTGTCTACAGCACTGCTCCTGAGGTCAACAATAATTCTTATTGTCTGCCCCACATGCACCTCAAAGGTGCAGTATGAACTGAAGCATAAGTTTTAGAATTGTTTTTAACAAGATTAAAATTAAAGCTAATTGGCAAATGTGTACAAACTTGTTTCAATTTAAACAGGTTTGTCAATAAAATAAAGAACATACCCTTCCCGGAAAACACCAGTGCAACACAACACCTTCTCCTGTTTATTTCGGCACTGATTCCAAAGGCACTGGCTTCCCTGCTGACCTCTTTCACCCTCGCACTGGCTGGATCAAACCAGGTACACCATCTCTCCTCATGATTTTAATGTTAATTAAAGACTGAACTAGACTGATCAGAATGTCGCATTCATTACTGGTGAATTATTACTGATCAAAGTGATCTGTTTATAATAATAATCCTTGCATTTGATATATGGCTTTTCACATATTAAAAACATTCAGGCTAACAAACACAAATATCCTTCACCGACCCTCCCAATGGACCCTAATCACTAAAGTGCTGCTTGCAGTACTGTCAGTGAAGATTCCACTTCTTCAGGAGACTCTACAGAGTGTGACCTCAGAAATGTTCATATCTACTTTTCTGCAAGAATTTGATGCCCAGATTGAAGACCTGGAAAATTTGAAGAACATCTTCAAATACCATGAGAAGAATGGTGTGGGGGGTCTGTAAAACAAAAGTACAATTACATCTTGCAATTGAGTCGTGGAGTCCTGTAGCTCAGAGGTTAGAGCACTCGCTTTGCAAGTGAGAGACCGGAGTTCAATTCCAGGCAGAGGGCGAAACCTTGGGCAAGTTTCCTTACTCCACACAGAGCCTAATAATAATCCCTCCAAAACCAAAAACAATAATAAATTGGTCATTTTCAATCTACGACTGCTTGTGGGACATTGCTGTGCGCAATTGGCTGCCGCGTTCGCCCACAAATATGCAGTCAATTCACTTTACAGTGTCTTCTGTGAAGCGCTTTGGGACGTCCTCCCGATGTGAAAAGCGCTATATCAAATGCAAGGATTATTATTATTATCTTCTAGATGTCTTAAAGCGCTTCATAGAATATACTGTAAAGTGAATTAACTGTATATTTGTGGGCGAAATGTGGCAGGCATTTGCACCCAGCAGTGTAAGGCTGGATAGTAATAATAATCCTTTTAATCCTTGACCTCTTGCTCCCGGACTTTCTTTGTCCACCAGCACACTTCCCATCCCCTTCAAAACACCTGTCATCACCCCATCATCAATAAACTTCCCATCACCCATCCCTGTTCCTTAACTGTCATCCCATCTCCAACCTTCCTTCCCTCTGGAATGGGTACTGGAATGGGTTGTTGCATCCCAGCTTTGCTCTTTCCTTTCTATGCGCTCCCTGCATGAACCCTTCCGGTCTGGCTTCCACACTGCCCAGAGTACTAAGACTTCCCCGGTCAAAGTCACAAATTATATTCTCTCCATTTGTGACCAGGACTAGATCTGCCTCCTTGCCTTTCTTTACCTCTCTGCTTCCTTATACACTGTCAATCACTCTATTCTTTTCCACTGCCTTTCCTCTCAGCTCCACTTTGATAGTTCTGTCCTTGGCAGCCTTCATTCTTTCCTATCCCAACATCTCCACTTCATATTTGCCAACAACTTCTCCTGGTCCAGCACCGTCATTTACAGTAACCATAGTTGGAAAGAGATTTGAAAAGCCTTGCCATTTTTATTTATTGAGATAGCAAACATCTTCCTTGATGTCTATTTTTCGAAGAAAATTTTCTTGAAAAAACATCTCCAGACAGTCCAGAATTTGATGGCCTTAAAACAATCGATCTCTGGAAATTGTAAGAATTTTGATGTTGCAGCGTAGAGTATTGGGTTCTCACCAGCAGGGGGCCACAGTGTTCCAAGAAACTATTTTTTCTAATCGAGTGGATCTTGCAGCAAATCCGCTTTTATAATACTACTACGACTACTAATAATCCTTGCATTTGATATAGCACTTTTTACGACTTCTAGACATCTCAAAGTGCTTCACAGAATATATTATAAAGTGAATTGACTGTATATTTTGCGGGCGAAACGCGACAGCCATTTGCACAGCAGTCTCCAACAAACAGTCGTGGATTGAGAGACTTACTGGTTTTTTTTCTTGAGGGATTGTCATCAGGCGTGTGTAATAAGAAAATTTGCCCAAATTCGCTTTGCCGGGAATCAAACCCAGGTCTCTCGCTTTTGAGACAAGAGCTCTAACCACTGAGCTACAGGACTCCTTTCATGTACAATGTAAATGGAATATTTTGAATTTAGGCTTATGGGATTTTGCACATAGCATGTCACTATACAAATTGCTCCATGGAGATTTATGCAAAGCTTTATTGTATGTTTTTCATTGTGAAATTTGCTTTAAATTGATTCGTATCGAAAACATGGAAATAATTTACTGAGCATTAAACAGTTCAAGAGTATTACCAAAAACATACTTTGCAATCATAAATTTTCGACTACTAAATTTATAATGTCTAAGTGCAGGAAAAAATTCATGCCACCCCACTGTTCTTTTCTGTTGAGCAACCGGATCATTTCACAGATTCCTATAACATTACAATCAATTCAGCCCATCAAGTCCACATTCTCCACAAGAGCCACCAAATCTAATTCCACTGTACTGGTCGCTCCCCATATACCTTTTAATATTTCTCCTTTTTCTCCATCTCTCTGATTCCCTTTATGGACTCTGCTTTATAATCTAACCACTTCTGTCAAAGCTGTTGAAACACCAAAAATAAGGCAAACAGGATGCTAGGCTACATTACCAAATCAGCTGGGCTAAGATGTTGTACTCGTGAGCTATATAGTGCTCTGGTAAGGCTGCACCTAGACTAATCGAATTCAAGATCCTCATCCTCACCTACAAGGCCATTCACAGCCTTGCTCCCTCCTACCTCTCTGACCTATTATCCCCCTACCTACCCGCCCGTACCCTCCGTTCCTCTGGCTCCGGTCTGCTCCACATCCCCCGCCCCAACCGCCCTACCATCGGTGGCCGGGCCTTCAGCCTCTCAGCCCCGAGGCTCTGGAACTCCATCCCCCAGTGCCTTCGCCGCCTCTTCCCTTTCCTCCTTCAAGGCCGGTCTCAAGACCTTTCTCTTTGACCGAGCCTTCAGCTCCCCTCTCAACTCTCTACCCCTCCTCGCTCCCTCCCTTCCCTCCCCTCATCCTGACCATTTCCCCCCTGCTCGGGTCCTGACCCAACTGTCCAGCGCCTTGGGATGTCCTCCCGACATGAAAGGCGCTCTATAAATGGAATCTTGTTGCTGTTGTAATGCATGCAGTTCTGGTCACTGCAACAGAAGGGGTCTGCCTTAGAGGTAGAGCAATGAGCACAACAATGAGAATGATCCCCAGAAAAAATATGATTAGATAAGCTAGAAATTTTATAGAGGCATTTAAAATTTTAAACAGATTTACCTCTTCTTTTCCCCCGGCTTGGAGAATAGTAGGTTTCTCTTATTCGCCCTAATAGAGGAATAGTCACTATGTTCAACAGTAATTACCTGTGAAGTGTTTTGAGAAATTTTATGTGATAAGGCACTATAATAATTCAAGTTGCTTCTTTGTTTCCACACCAATTATTTTATGTTAATTCACATTAAACTGCATGCACCTGTGAGCTTCTGGCAATTTCTGAAAGATCTAAATCTGATTGATTGTTCCCCATCAGTTCCTCTGTTCCTCTGCCTTTTATTTCTCTGCCTCACTCTTTCCGCAGCAACCGCCTCCAAAAGGTAAACACCCCTTCCCCCTCCCTCATCCATACCCTGCCCAACATTGCCTGCTCCTCAAACTCCATGGTCGCTTCCCCCCCACGATCCCAAATCCTCTCTCTACCACTCTCCTCAACACCTCCCCCCTACCAGCAAATCTATCCGCATTTCCCTCCAAAATGTCCACTCCCTCTCCAATAAAGCCCTTGCTATCCATGCCCTCATCCTGGATGTGCACATTTATATTCTTAGGCTTACAGAAACCTGGCTCTCCCCCAGTGACCCCGTCCCCCTCATTGAAGCCTCCCCTCCTGGCTACACTCTTCACCATAACCCCCGCCCCAACCAACATGGCGGCGGGGTGGCCCTCAGCTCCCAAGCTTCCCTTTGTCTATCCCCCTATTCCTCTGGTTGTTTCTCCTTCTTTGAGCACCTCACCCTCTACCATCCCTCCTTTCTCTCCCTCAATATCCTCTAGTTTATCCCTCCCCCTCTCCCAACTCCAATTTACCCTTCCTTGAAGTCCTTCCAAAATCCTGGAACACATTGTTGCAGGTCAACTTCAGTCACACCTCTCCCTCCACTCTCTTTTCGAGCCCCTGTAGTCTGGTTTTCGCTCTGCCTGCAACACAGAGACCACACTTGTCTAAGTCACAAATGACATTCTCTCTATCTGTGACCAGGGCTCCCTCTGCCTTCTCATCCTCCTGGATCTCTCTGCCACGTTTGAAACAGTCTACCACATCATCTTCCTCCATCGCCTCTCCTCCCTCATCTACCTTAGTGGGACTGCACACACATGGTTCAAGTCCTACTTAACCAACTGCCTCCATTTCATCTCGGCAAATGGTTTCTCCTCACGCCCCCGGCTGGTCACCTGCGGGGTACCCCAGGGCTCCATCCTTGGCCCCCTTCTTTTCATGATCTATATGCTCCCTCTGGGTGATGTCATCCCCAGATATGGGGTAACCTTACACATGTTTGTGGATGACACACAAATCTACTTTACCTCCTACAGTACCAACTCCAGGTCCACTGATGTTCTATCAGCTTGTCTGGCATACATCAGGGCCTGGATGAGTGTAAATTTCCTGCAGCTGAACATGGAAAAGACGAAAGCCATACTGCTTGGCTCCCGTCAACGTCTTCACTCCACTGTCTCCCCATTACCCAACTCCTCAACATCCCTGGGCTCTCCCTCAGAATAACCGAACCAGTGTACAACCTCGGCATCCGGTTGACCCCAAACTATCCTTCCTCCCCCACATCTGGTCCCTGACCAGGACCGCTTTCTTCCACCTCCACCACATTGCCCGCCTCCGACCGTACCTTACCCCCAATGGTTTGTCACCTCCCGCCTGGATTACTCCAACTCACTCCTCGCCGGTCTCCCCAGCTCCACCATTCAAAAATTCCAGCTCATTCAGAATTCTGCCACCTGCCTACTGACCCGAACCAAACTCCGTACCCACATCTCACCAGTTCTGGCCAGGCTCCATTGGCTCCTTATCACCCAACAGATCGACTTCAAGATCCTCACATTTGTTCAAATCCCTTCACTCTCTGGCACCTCCCTACCTCTCTGACCTCCTCACTCCCCTATCCACCACCCGGCGCCTCCGCTCAACTGGCACTAACCTCCTGCTTGCCCCTCGCACCCTCTGCCACACCATTGGAGGTCGCCCTTTCAGCCACTATGCCCTGAAACTCTGGAACACTCTCCCTCAATCCCTCTGTCTTTTTCAAGTCCCGCCTGAAAACCTTCCTCTTCGACTGAGCTTATGGCCACCTCCCGCACCACCACCCCCCCGGCTTGGAGTCAGGTTCCGCCACTGTTAAGCGCCCTGAGACCCTACACTGGAGGGTGCTATATAAGTGCAAGTTGTTATTGGATGGGTGATGAGTGTTTCAGTTGCATTGGGGATAAGTGATAGAATTGGGCAATGTTGCAAAGGTGAAGAAAAGTAGATTTGGCCAGAGTCCGGATGAAAGGTGAAATGATGGTTAAACCAAACTGCAAGAATTTGTAGAGGCTTTGTGAACTGGAACAGACTTGGTAGAGTTCTTAAAGGATAATGAAGGGTTATTATAGGGAAAATAGTAATAAATTACTTTTGCTAGTTGGTAATGAGAGGGCAAAACTTAAAGTTTAAAAAGAATTAAAGGCAAGGTTAGAAAAACATTCTTTCTACCAAGGGTAGTTGGAATGTGAACTGTTGTTGACTCAAAGTTCACCTATTATTGTTCTAAAAGGGAATTAATAGTTGCTTGAAAAAAATGAAAGGGCATGGAGAGTGAGTAAGCGAGCAGGATTAGATTGGATAGTTCATGTGGAGAAAAACACCAGTTTAAAATTGACAGACCAAGGGGCCTATTTCTGTCCTGTAAGATTCTGAGATTTGATCACGTGCCAAATCAGGAAAGGAAACCCTAGGAAAGGCAAATAGCCTGAGTACCATAATTGCAGGAACTAACGGATTGTTTGGCTCAGTTGGTAGCACACTTGCTTCTGGATCAGAAGAGTGGGGGTTGAAATCCTCATAGCCTTAAAATAGAAGCTACAGAGTGTTAGATGCTCTGATTTTGATGCTGGAAACTGGTGCCTTCATTCCCCGATGTCTTCAACAGGCACCAATGCCACCCTCTCTAAGACCTAATGTACCAATGCAGATGACTTACTTAAAACTTTGTTCCTCAATCTTTGTTTTACAATATTTTAGATGAGGTCATAAAGAATTCCAGGTTACCTGCATGATCAGGTGGACATTAAAGATTCCACACATAAAAATATAATTTGTGGAATGAGTGACCAAATTTTAATTTTTTTTTGTGAAATACAGAAGTCAAAGTCACGGCAGATCAATATGCATGTGCTTGTTGACGGATTAAAAAGTACAACGGCTATATGAATAAAATAATAACTCATCTAACCCCTCAGAGCAATCAGCCAGACAGTGTCAATCTAGAAATGTAAGCAATTTAATTAGGATCAGAATCAAACGATCATCAATTAGACTTTCCCCCACTCTTGGCAGGAAGCAGAGCACAAGAACACCAATCCCCCGATTGTCTGCAGAATCAATCAGCATCCATTCAAATGTCTAATTAAAACTAACCAGCAGGAATACAACATAACAAGTCAGTTTATACCAGGTCATAGAGGAGCAGAAGATGGCAATGAAGTTGGTGGTGAGATGGTGATGCTCTGAAGCTCTGATTTCTAGTGTAAAACATGGCCCTGATTTTGTGACAAGTGTCTATTTGTAGTACTTTATAGACTAAGATTAATTAGAATTTAACCCTTCAATCCTCCAGTTACAGTTTGGGATTTTTTCAGATCATCTGTTTTAGGGGCTGATAATTGAGAAACAGCATCAGACTCAGTACAAATTATAGATTCTGGTTGGGGGTGGGGGTAGCTACAAAACGTATAATGATGTGGACTCAGCTTACGTATAGTGTAAGTTAAGTGAACTAATTTCTAAACATTTGCTCTCTATAAGCAAAATGTATGCAATTTCATTTCTCTTTGCTCTCCAGAGGCTCAAAATTTCAACAAGTCTTAGCCAATTGGACCATTTTGTCTTAAAATGTAATATCATACAGAAACTTAATTTGGAAATAAGTTTTCCACAGTGCTTAAAAATAATCAATTAAGACTGATTTTAGGAATTATTCACAATTATAGTCCATCTTAAATTTTATAGCAAGGCAGTCCGACACTCTGCCCTTCTCTGCCTGAATGGGTGATGGCAGCCGATTCGATAACAACTTTTCAGTTAACTTTTAAGGGAGAAGTATATAATTATTTGGGGCGGACAAGTTTGCAGGGCTATGAGGAGAGCGCGGGAGAGTGGGATTGAATTGGATAGCTCTTTTCAAAGAGTTGGCACAGACACGATGGGCCAAATGGCCTCCTTCTGTGCTGTAGGATTCTATGATTCTCCTCCTTCCTGGCCTCTCTATCAAACTCACTGATGTCTGACAGACATCAAGTCCAAGATGAGAGCTAAGTTTCTTCAGTTGAACATCAACAAGACCGAGGCTCTCCTGAATGGTTCCCATCAGTACCTCCACATCTCGGCACTTACAGCATCACCATCCAAAGATGCACACTCCAGCTTACTAAGCCAAGACTGTTTTTCTTCATCTTTGCCACATTGTCCACCTTCACCCCTACCTCACACCTAACACAGCTAAAAACCCTCATTCTTGCCTTTATCTTCCAATTCAACTTCCCAAATACACTCCTTGACGTTCCACTGTTCTAAAGCTGAAGCAAAATTCCTCACCCACACCAAACTTCACTTTCCCATCGCCCCAATCCTTGCCAGGCTGCACTAGCTCACAAGGGATTGACTTCAAGGTGCTCATAATCCCCTTCATGATTTTGCATCTCCCTGTCTCTGTGATCTTCTACACTACTGCTCACTCCTGCTCAGCTAACTCATGCCCTCTAGATGTCCCCTGTCCCTTTCAAGCTTGCATCAATGGCTGAGCTTTCACCAACTAGTCCTCTAAACTCTGGAACTCCCTCCCTCCACCTCTCTATGCTTTAAAATCCTGCCTAAAAACCTACCTCTTCACCTATGTTTTCTTGCTCAAAATTGTGAAGCAGTCAAGGATGTTATCTTACATGATATATGCTACATAAATTAAGGTTTTTGATGCAATCTTTTGCTTATACCGTGACCGTTCTACTGTTGGTGTGAATTCATCTGGTTGGTGATTCATGTGGTTTCTATATCATTTCTAAATTGGATCCAACGGTAATATTAAAATCCCATGCTCACAATGCGAGTACATTTCCCACATAATGTAAAGTTGGAACTAAGAGCAATATGGGATGGAAATATGAATGCTAATTTTTTATATGCAATGCTTAAAACCATTCATAGTTAAATAATAAAGATGCATGCTCCACCCATTGATTTATTTACAATGTAGAAAGATGCTGCTATTTGCTCATACTTTATCCCTACTCAGATCCATATTCATAAATGTGCACAAGAAAGTGAAGACTATCTGAACAATGTGCTGCTGGAGGTCCAGAGACTTTGGCCCTCTTTTATTGGTGGACGGAGAATCGCAAAACAGGTATTTTTTTAATTTAAATCAAGCAGACTCACAAACCTTCTTGAATTGAGGGTGAATACAGATTACTTGTATCAGATCAATAAGAAGTGTATAAATTTGCACAATGTGTTTCTTACATTTTCCAGTACATTTGGCTAATATTTGTTAACAAAGATGGATCTCTCCTTGGCAGGAGACTTAGTCTGAGCGTTCTGGAGCATAATGGTTGTTAGGATCTTTGGCCATGTGGATACTCGGTCAGCTGGTGAGAAGTTGGAGGGATTATTATTAGGCGTGTGGAGTAAGGAAACTTGCCCAAGGTTTCGCCCTGCCTGGAATTGAACTCGGGTCTCTCGCTTGCAAAGCGAGTGCTCTAACCACTGAGCTACAGGATTCCTAGTGTTCCAGAGTGTTGGGGCATAGTGGCAGAAAGCGCGACCTCCGATGGTGGGGTGGAGGGTGCGAGGGATGAGCAGGAGGCCGGTGCCAGTCGAGCAGAGGTCGGAGAGGTAGGGAGGTGCTAGAGAGTGAAAAGATTTGAATACAAGTGTGCGGATCTTGAAGTCGATCCGTTTGGCAATGGGGAGCCAGTGGAGCCTGGCCAGAACTGGTGAGATGTGGGTATTCACTACTAGATTATATTTTACACATATCTATGTATGTATTTCCACTGATAGTGGTATTTCAAGAGGCAGGAGAATCTGCAGGTAGTAATTGGCAGAATGTTACAATTTTACTCCCAGGAGGAATATGCACCATCTGTGTCTGTTAATTAGCTTGAGGAGAAAATTGAGGGCCAGGGACTGAGCCAAAGAGAAAGATACAGAGAGAAAAAAAGTCAGCTTAGTAAACACCAGTAAAAGCTGTCTTGTAAAATGATGTTGAGGATTACTGTTTCATTCATCAGGATGAATGGGATGATTTTTTATGGCAGGTCCCATTGAGGAGAGAGCTGTGTTCTTACTCACCGTTTTCCCATATATATTTTGCTGTCACAGTGCTAATTACCTGCTGGAAAATTGCATTTGAAAATAAACATTGACTCATAAAACGTTACACCACAGGTCATTTGGCCTATCAAACCCAGTCGTTTGGGTCCATTAACTCAGAGGCCGTGCTATAAATATATAATAAATAATACTTATATTTGGTATAGTGCTCTACATGTCAGGAGGATGTCCCAAAGCGCTTCAGAGGATATATTGTGAACTGCAATCACTTTCATGGGCAAATGTGTTGTGTTATAAGCAAGTGAGAAATAATGACTGACTGTTGAGTTGTCAGGTTGCTGATGATGTCAGTTGCTTTGCACAAAACAGCCACTGACATGTAGTGCATTGACTGTGTGTGTGTTGTGGGTGAACATGGAAGCCAATTTGTGCACAACAATATCCCACAGACATCCATGAAGTGAATGACCCCATTTAACTGGGGACTGTTGGAGAATAGTGCCATGGGATCTTTCACATGCACTTAAACAGGCAGACTGGACCTTGGTTTAACAAGTAACCTGAAGGATAATGCTGATGATGCTGGGCACCTGCAGCACCACAACCTTGAAATCACAACAATAATAATAAATTGGTCACTCAATCCACAACTGTTTGTGGGATTGGCTGCCGCGTTTCGCCCACACAACATTTTAAAGTGTATTCTGTGAAGCACTTTGAGATGTCTCGAAGACTTATAAGGTGCTATAACAAATGCAAGGATTATTATTTGAGGCGATAATGCTACCAACTGTGCCAGGCTGATACATATATTGTTCATATTGGAAGAATAAGAAAAATAACTTTGTTACTTCAGTGTTGTAGCTATACTGATTTGTAGAGATGAACATATGAATTTAAAAGTCACTCTTTGACCAAACTAGATTGTAAGTCTGGTCTTCTTTTCGCAGGACACTACACTCTGTGGTTACATAATTCCAAAAGGGTATTCAGTGATGTTCATAGCCTTTGCTGTCCATAGGGATCCTGATTATTTTGATCATCCTGATGAGTTTCTCCCGGAAAGATGGTCTGAAAGGTTTGTAGCTTTTTTTTTAAACATAGTTTAAATGTTGTTAGTAAATAACAATCATTGTGTGTCATTTAACTGAAATGTTAACTGTTAATTAAAAACACTTAATCAAGATTAATAATCCTGTGCATTATTTATATTTTGGCAAACTGTCCATGGAATGGATGGACCTATGACAACTTTCTTCTCTATATTAAATGCTTACATTTCTGAAAAAGCTTATATCCATGTTATTATCATCACATCTATTGCTGACAATTTCAAAAATTATTTCAAAATACGTTAAAAATAATTATTGAAGTATTCCATGGGTTGTTCTTGAACAAACATAGGATTCATTTAGTTTGTACATGTCCCAGGTTCTCTGAATCATATATACCACATCATAGGAAGGAGAGGACAGAATACAAGGCTGGTATTACTTACAGGAACACAGTCTTACACTGAATAGAGTGGTGTTGTGTAGCTGTTGTCAAAGGAGATGGCCTTTAGAGTTAGATGGTCAGGATTATAGCTTCCTGTCACAAGTGTGTAACTTGTTTAACAACCAATGAATTTTTATATGAAGAGCTCACATAATCATTTTAGTTAAGACTTGTGTGAAGTTCTGGTATTAGTAGAACTCCATCCCAGAATCCCTTGGCCTTGCTCCTTTTTTCTCCCTCCTTCAAAGTACTCTTTAACCTTCGGTCATCTTCCTACCCCCACCTCCACCCACCTCCATTGGCCCCCACTCCTTCCAAATCCAATCCCAGCTCAGGTGCAAACCCTCGACTGCCTTGGGATAGCCTTCTGATATGAAAGGCGGTTATACAAATGCAATTTGTTCTTGTAGTGGATATTAGCAAATCATTCAAATTATTTATTTCAGGGATAAGAAATTAGATTTGTTCGGAAATTAATGCTTCTATATGATCAGCTTCTATCAGAGCAGCATGCAACAAAAACTTATATAGCACCTTCACGTAGTTCAACAACTCAAAGCACTTTACAGAGGTGCACTGGAAGCCTGAGCAGAATGAGAGAGAGTAAAGGGGCAGTAGTAGGAAGTGGCTGAAGGCACAGTCAAAGAGGCACGTTTTTCAGTGTATTTTGAAGGAGTCCTATCGTACCAGCAGTCACTTAGTCCAGATTTAAGACTGTTGGTAGAATGCCGCAGAATTGACCTGAATTCAATTCCAGGCAGGGCGAAACCTTAGGCAAGTTTCCTTACTTCACATGCCTAATAATAATCCCTCCAAAAAAACAAAACAATAATAAATTGATCATTTTTAATCTACGACTGTTTGTGGGACACTGCTGTGCGCAATTGACTGCCACGTTCGCCCACAAATATACAGTCAATTCACTTTACAGTATATTCTGTGAAGCGCTTTGGGAAGTCTAGAAGACGTGAAAAGCGCTATATTAAATGCAAGGATTATTATTATTATAACAGAAACATATCTGCAGAGTCTTCTATGAGTTAACAGTCATGTTCATCAATCTGACCTGTGCAGTCATTGCCTTCAGCAGGCTCAGAGAATTTGCCCATTGCTTGTAATATTGTCCCAGACCAGCATTGGGAAATCAAAATATTTTATAATTACACAAATATAAAATGTCTCAGAACAAGAAACATATACATTATACATGACCATTTTCAACTCCCTGACTTCCTGGAACAATGAGAAAACTCAACGTTCATCGAATCATAGAATTATACAGCACAGAAGGAGGCCATTCGGCCCATTGTGTCTGTACCGACTCTTTGAAGAGTTGAATTCAGCAACTACAGTAAACCTCACATAAATCATATAAACAACAACTTGGAATTATGTAGCATCCTCCACGCCGGAGGGCGTCCCATACTATGCAAAGTATGAGTTACGTCAAACTTGCATAAGTCGTATCATATATGATATAAGTAAAGTTATGTATAAGTCAGATTTTATATGACTTGCACATAACAAATACACAAGTACTGAACTGGTGGTGATATTAAGACAAGGTTTCAAACTGTAAATTTTTATTTTCAATCATTTTCATGTACTTTTCATCCTGTTTTATTATCTGTAAATGTTTTATTTGAATGTTCCTGTTGCCTTCCCTGATTTGATTTGATTTTTCTTGCAGTGGGAGATGATACAAATGGGTGAATTATTTAAGGGTCCATTTAATTATTATTAAGTATAATATTATTAACATCCTCCTCTTAAATAATTCATCAATTTGGCCTGTGCAGTCATTGCCTTCAGAATGCTTGGAGATGGCTTCAGCGTGGCCATGTTCAATGTGATTGTTATTTATTCTGAGACATTGTATAAACTCATGTAATTATAAAATGTTTGGGCTTCCCATTGCTGGTCTGGGACAATATTACAGGAAATGGGCAAATTCTCTGAGTATGCAGAAGGCAATGACTGCACAGATCAAATTGATGAGTTATTTAAGAGGGTTTGTTAAGAGTCCACTTAATTGTCTCAGTTAATAATAATATTAATAATAATAATAATCCTTGCATTTGATATAGCGCTTTTCACGTCGGGAGGACGTCCCAAAGCGCTTCACAGAACACACTGTAAAGTGAATTGACTGTATATTTGTGGGCGAACGCGGCAGCCAATTGCGCACAGCAATGTCCCACAAACAGTCGTAGATTGAAAATGACCAATTTATTATTGTTTTTGGTTTTGGAGGGATTATTATTAGGCGTGTGGAGTAAGGAAACTTGCCCAAGGTTTCGCCCTGACCTGCCTGGAATTGAACTCAGGTCTCTCACTTGCAAAGCGAGTGCTCTAACCACTGAGCTACAGGACTCCAGTTATAAAGGGAGATATGTGTTGCCTTATACTTTACACAGCTGTCAGTTGGGGAAAACCTGAAAGCAGGCAAGTGAGTACAGCACTGCTATTATAGCCATGAGGCTGTGCTCCAGCTACATTCATAATACACAGTGATGGGTCTCTTCACTCTCCAGGTGATCAGGTATTCCCCACCCACGCGCTAACCACGTGATCAGGTGCCACACTTTCCTCTCTCAGCCCCCTCCCGCCCCGCTGCTGTGCGTGATGACGTTGGTGTTTCACCCTTGGGAGGGAGGACGAGGAGAGTGGAGGGTGATTTATGTTGGGATGCACATGTGCGGTGTTCTATAATACTAATCCTTGCATTTGATAAAGCGCCTTATCATGTCTTCGAGACCTCTTAAAGTGCTTCACAAAATATAATGTAAAGTGAATTGACTATATATTTTGTGGGGGAAACGCCGCAGCCAATCGTACACAGCAGTGTCCCACAAACAGTCGTGGATTAAGTGACCAAATTATTATTTTTTAAAAAATAAATTAGTACACCCAGAAAAGTGATCTGCCAATTGACTAACAACCAGGTTCCTACTTACTGCTAGGTGAACAGAAGAGTGTGAAGTAAGTAAACTGAACCCCAGGTCTCTCGTTTGCAAGGCGAGTGCTCTAACCACTGATCTGCAGTTGCCTTTACATATGTCGGCAAGAGCATATCAAATAGGTCTGTAAACTTCTAGCCTTAACTGTATTTGAAACAATTTGCAGATTCATTATTTTTGAAGCTATATTGTTGGAGCAATTCTTGAAAACATAAGTCCAAAATGTATCATGATTTCTTCTTTAAAGGACCTTCTCACATTCTGCATGCTTGGAAACATTCCAATCTTTTCAAAGTGGAATGAATGACAGGCTCCTAATAACATTCACCAATGTTTGGAGCACCCAGACCCCAGAGTTCATTTGCATTGCCACTCGTACATTTAATCAATTGTGAATTGACCAATCCTACAAGTAGTACACACATCAATTAATAGAAAGTGTACAGTTACTGTATTTCAGGACCCTAAGCCTTTTACCACTCACGGAAAACAGCAATCCATCTGTGCTATTACACTACCGTTGCTATGACACTTTCCTTCCTAAATTCCCTTTATAAAACGATTGTTGCATGGTGTGTTGGCAAACCTAATGGCTTAACATTTCTAATAAGATCCTTACAACTGGTCCATGTAATAATAATACTTCCATTTGATAGGAAGGTAGTATATTTTGTGTACAGCAATGTCCCTATTCCATGTCCCAGCAGCCATGAAATGTTTTATCTGGGGAATTGTTGGTTAGGACACTGAGGAAAAAAACTCCTCTTTTCAAATAGTGCCATGAAATCTTTAACATCCATCTGAAGAGGCAGACTGTTGTCCAGGTTTAAGGGCAAAATACCTGCCTAGGTAATGTTTGTGCATTTGTGACCTACACTGCCAATTTCCATGTCAAACCTAATAAGAAAACAATCATCAAAAAGATTTTGAATTTCATTGATATTCCTGCCTAGTTACAACAACAAAATCATATGTGTATAGCGCCTTTCACATTGGGAGGATGTCCCAAGGCGCTGGACAATCAGTATTTCTGACCTGGGGTTCGGGATCAGGTAGGCTGGAGGGTAGGGGTGTGATCGAAGACACGGTCGAAGAGGAGGGACTTGAGTCGGGTCTTGAAGGAAGCAACAGAGGGGGCGAGGCAGAGGGATTGTGGAATGGAGTTCCAGATTGTGGGGGCAGAGTGGCTGAAGGCTCGCCTGCCAGTGGTGGGGCGGGCGAGGCAGGGGACGTGAAGCAGCCAGAGCCCACTGAATGGAAGTTGCGGGCAGGTTGGTAGGGGGTTAGAAGGTTACAGAAGTAGGGGGGAGCAAGACCGTGGAGGGCTTTGAAACTGAGGACCAGCATCTTGAACTATATCTTCTATGTGTTGGGAAGCCAGTGGAGTCAGTTAAGGATGGGGGTGATAGGGTCACAGAGCCTGGTGCGGGAGAGGACACAGGCTGCAGAGTTCTGGATGATCTGCAGCCTTTGGAGTGAGGAGTTGCGGAGGCGAACAAGCAGGAAGTTTTCATAGTCAAGCTGGATGTTATGAATGTGTGTACGAGGGTCTTGGTAGCCTCCAATGTGAAACAGTGGCGAAGCCGGGCGATGTTGCGGAGGTGGAGGAAAGCAGAGTGGA